TCTCGTAATTCGATACCGCTGTGCTCGGAATGATCGGGATTGCGTTAAATTAATTATGATCAAAGTTGAACGGTATCGGGGCCGCGAAACTCGAGATCCATGCGATCGGGTATTCCGTGTGTGTCTATTGAACCATTTCACAGTTACTGAAGGAAGGTTAGCCTAAAGGGGACATTTTATTTAATGATAGTGTTTGAAGCAAGCATTCACATAATTTCAACTTCGTTATTCTATTTGAATTTGATTTGATTCGGTTTGATTTCTTTGTACGAGACGAATCCTTTGACGCAAGAAGAAGTACAGAGAGGGACAAATTATAGCTGTTTGCACATTCCGATTGTAGAAGTCGAGTATAAATCCGGGCTGTATACTGACTCCAACTTTAGTTGCAATATAAACATCCCTGGAAAATCAGTCCAACATGGTACCGACAAGATGGTAGTATGAATAACGTGTATGAAGAGAATTTACATGAGATTCTAAATGAATGCAACAAAAATAATCTATATAACGAATATAAAAGAAGTTTAATTTAGACGATGGAGTTTGCTGAAATTATCATTCTCGCGATTCAAGGAAAGAAGAGAAATTCTTGAGACGACGCGACGCGTGGTGTGGGTCAGAACCAAGTGCTATCGAATTAATATTATAAACGAGCAAACAGTCTTAATTACATAAAAGATAAGACGAAGTATGCTAGGCAAATTACCAGAGGAGAAATTATATTCCAGCAGGATTAACTCAATGTTACATCACAATTCTGATTTCTCTGGAAAGCGGTATAGTTCGATACTTAGTGTTTGCATTAAGCCAATACTAGATAGCTTGAGTTGATGATCTTCGAAATGGCAGTCTCGCCTGAGGGACCATTTTGAACTTCGAACGTAACGTTGCGTAAGTTTCAGCAATAAAAAGGACAAGAGGCGAAAGAACGTTACACAGAGAGTCGTGTTATAAACCGTAATCAAAGCAATATCGAAGGAACCGAGAGAGCTCCATCGAATTCAATAAGCTATCGAAACTGGAGCTACGCCGATCGTTTGAGGGGAAGAAAATAGGAAGGATGGTGTAAAGAAGACGACCCGCTAGGCGCTGATGGCCCATTCGAAACGAAGAGAGCGAATTGTTGGCTTTTCTACTGACATCGACGGATATAACTTCCTCGTCGAGGGGGACTCGATAAGGAATTTTTGTAATCGAACCCACCGCTCTGTTGTTTGCATTGTTCACCCCTAACCGTATCGGATGTCGAACATGCTACCTTACGAATTTTTCCACACACCCCCCCCCCCCCCCACCCCTCCCCCACGGATATAGCTACTGTATTCTTTTCGGGGCTTAACGCAGCTCAAAAATATCGAATTAAATATTCACGTAAGAATATTCCAGACATTCTCCATTTTGTAGCTTATTTCTTCATTTCAGTAGAAAACTTATTTACGAACGTGATATAAATGAATGTGAAAAAATTCTACCGTTACGGAATGGAATTTTATTAAAATTTCATTAAAAATTTCATTGAAATTGTTCAGTTCCACTTGCTAACTGTAGTTAAAATATCGATCACATTTCACTCGTGTATCCTGAAGAGGCCTCAGAAAATTATGCTGGAAATGTTTTCACATTAATTTGGGAAATATGGCCGAATAAAAATGCTCCGCAATGCTCCACATTTATTCAATTCATATCGCACAATCCACAAAGGATTATCTCTCAACATATCAATCGATACCAGACGGTTTCGTTTAAATTGGATACGTCACCGATTTGATTAAAATTTTGGTAAATAAAAACTTAACCACCCGATCGAATTAGCATCGCGAATGAATCGGCACGCGTTTGATTCGTTGGGAAAGATTAAAATGGGACACCTTGCGCCACGATCCCGTGGCGGAACGAACGGACGACCGAAATACCTGTCGAGTTTTATATCCGAGTTCCAGCGGTCGTATCAACATTTTCTCAATCCCCGATATATCGATCGCGGCCCAGGGAAATACACGGTTACGTTTCACGAATATGGAAATACGACGGTAGTAATTCATTGCTTTATCAGGTTTCGAGCGACGTTTCGTGCGCTTAAGGATAATGGTGAGATACCGAACGAAAGGACACCGTTGACGTCGATATCGGTTTCCCTTCATTCCTTAATTTTTATCTAAGCGCGGGGAGAAAGCAAAAATATCGTTCGCAACCACGTTAATTTTAACGTTCTGCTCTCTTCTCGTGTGAAGATTGCTTGTTAATCGATGACGTCCCGTTACTAATTCACATTATCATACGCTTATGCCTGGATTAAGCCGTCGTGTTCCGAACGCGACTGAATAATCGAGTACGTCCATGTCATCGAAAGCCCGAAATGTCTCTCTATCTCATGAAACGCTTTGAAATCCCTCGAAACACGAATTTTCGTTGAATGTTGAGACATCGCGATAACGTGAAATTATAATGCGAGGAAACGTTGTCGTCCAAGTCTATTCGCGGGGATAAAATTCCAAGTCTGAATGTATTCAGAATGATTTGAAACAAATGGCCTGTGTATTTCAAATGATAATATTTCAGACGTTTTTGAAGACTAGTTTGGTTGGAGTACAGTTTTTGTCAGTTTTATATTCTGTTGAATATTGAAGGAGAATGAAGTGGCAAGCAAGCTTCAACTATCACCAGTGTAGAAATATCATTCGACGTACCTTTAATATTAATATGAAATTTTTATATTAAATATTAGATATCGTCATAAAAAAATTCCAAAATACCAGCATTCTTTTCTGGGTTAAAAGCGCTGTCTCTCCTCGAAGGCGACGTCAGGGTCCCATAGAACGTGCGCCTCTAACCTTTTAAAGGCGACAGCGCTATATACTGAACGTTTCGTTGTTTAGCGAGTCTAAAAAAGGCTCTATTTGCCTCGTTGACTCTAATAATAATTGGTGAACGATTGTAGCGAGAGATCAAAGGGTAGCGAGAGTTGACTTTCTTCGCGCTCCCCTGAGCATTCGCGAAGTCGATGACACGCCAAACTGGTATAAATCGATGAAATCAATCAAAGGACGACGTAACTACCTTACATGAGACAATAGGAGGAGGGGGGGGTGTATTTCCAATAACCTGCAATTCATATAATCGATCATTCTATCGACAGGAACACTTGAGAAGCACATCTTCGCGACCTACTTTCTTTTTTGTATTCTCAAATAAAATGAAACATTCTGGCAGTATGATATAAATCATTTCGAAGAGACTTTTCTAGGTAGACTGATAGGTAGACATTGAAATTTAAATGAATATAAATTATTAATATAATCGAAGCAACCCTTAACGATTTACTTAGAGTCAAACATTTCACCACGTTCCACGAACAAAGGAGGCATCCTAAAATTATCGGACAGAAGGACGCCAGACATCTAAATGCAGACTGAGGAGAAATTCTATTAAACGCTGAAACAACCCCATCCGCGTTCAAGCGTGCCGAAATCGCCTGAATACAAATGATTCGAGTCCCTCGTTTCACAGATGCGATCTCCGTTGAGTACGACTTCCTTGGTTCCGTGAAAGCGTCTCGAGGTTGGAAAAAAAGAAACAAAAACGTATCAATCCCCGAGGAATCAATCACGATTCGACTCGAGACGTCCAATCGAAGCGACTGGGACGATAAAGCGTGGAATCTTGAGTTAGCTCGCTCTCAGCCAGCCAACGAGCTTGAAATTTAATTTTAAATTCCAACGTGTTCACAATTTATCACCGCGAACGAGTTGAAGAAGGTTCGCGCAATTAAGATTGTCGATAACGCATGAGTGAATTCGTTCCTCCAGAGACGAAGGGGTGGAAAAATCTCTCCAGGTGGTAGAACCAGATGGGGAGTAAGTTTATTCTTCAAAATGGTAAACAATTTTTCGTTGAATATTACGAATAGCCGTTTTATGTGGAAACTTTGTGACGGAAACAATCCTCGATAACCCTTTAAAACAATAAGCGTTCAAATTCTTAAATACCATAAATGCGAGGACATTTCGGAACATCTCTTTAATAAATTAGTTTCCACAAATTAGCACTGAATAACTATTGAATCTATATATAAAACGTATTCATTTATTGTACGTGCAATTACTATTAATAATTTACAACTCTGCTTCGTATGCGAGTTATAATAAACTCTATTTCAGCTTAAAAGTTCGTAGCAATTCTGTGAATGCGATGTGGTGCAGTTATTACGGCTCCCTGGTATAGTTTATTTGATAACTCATTAAACAATATGCGCGTACTTTACGGTATGAATACTCTGACAGATCCGGGAATAATAAGTAATTTCCCAGTAGACCCACCATGCATTCGGAATAAATTTATACGGATTTAGGCAAATTGGTTCAAGAGAAAGGCACAACTCAATTAGTTCGAAGTGGTGCATTGGGTACTGCATGAAACATGATGCTGGGCTAAACAAGCGGGGAGTCAAACAGAGCTGTGTACACCCGCGGTGCGCGTTCGACGCTCAATTGTTGACGGTGAAATGTCGTCACTTTCGGATGTAACTAAACGTGCCTAATTGGACCCTTGAACGGTTAAGAATGAAGACTAATAAGAAATTATCCCATAAATTAAAACCAAGTGTATGTTTGTATAAATATGTTGATGTATATATATATATATATGAATACACACATGTATAAGTCTATTCATATACACATTTATAATGAAAAATTCATTTGGTAATATCATAAGAATTATATAATTTAGTCAAGCTTCTACAATAGACATTGAGGGTACGAATATTTATGGGACCGACTGTTATACCCTTGATGCAAATAACCTATAACATGCAGAAACTATTTGCAATTCAATTATTAATGACATCTTAAGCATTACGATTGCTAAGAAAAGAACCATTTATACGCCACACTATTAACGTCAAACCATTAACGTCAAACCATTTTTACGTCAAACTGTTCGCTAAACCAGTCTAATTGGAAGTATTCACGACAAGAGATCTTCTATCGTCGTTTCAGATTTACTTCATAGTGCTGGCACTGACCACGGGCAGCGTGCTCCAAGAGGAGACGGAATACTTGAAAGGGAATCGCTCCTTGCCTGAGTCCACGAGCTTCCTCGAGCCGGACACCATCTCCCCAAGTGAGTATTTTACAACGGCAAAGCTCGTGGTAGCCGCACAGAGAAATTCCCACTTCCCCATGGCGAGTCACTAACCGATAACCAAGTCCACGTAATTGCTTGGAATCACACTCCGTTCGCCGAACAATCGTAACTATAACGTCTCACGTTCAACATGCTTCTATTGCTTCAGCGACGGTACGGATTAACGTGACGCTACTTGTATGCTCGTGCTGCGGTGTGGTTTGCAGCATCCTGCTTCTCTATGGCCTGTTTAAGGTAAGACATTCTCCCACGTATGCGTTGACACGCACTGATCACGCTTCGTTAGTCGATCGAACCTATCGATAGATAAATAAAAACGACGACGCTCGAAACAAGCATGTTATTTCCTAGAGATCTATACGTTTCAACCTTAGTTTTAGATCTTTCGCGAATTCAACGAAACGTTGCTTAATTCTTATTATAATAATTTCAAAAGATGCTTGTTCGAACTAACTAGTTTTCATATGTTTATACTATTTCACAAGCGCCGTCCTTGAGAATTACTAGCATGATTAACAATTGAGCAGTAGTCTGATCAAAGTCATCGTGCTTTTTTCATCGTGTCCTTTAGATAACCTTCTGCTTGATACTTTAACCATCGTCCTATTTAGAAATAAATAAATAGAAAACACCTAACAGCATGGTTCATAAGCTCTGGTACGTGGGCACTGAAATAAAAAGTCTTCGAACAGCATCCGTTGATCTCCACTGAAAAATGAGGATCTTTTTTGGCAAGATTCGCCCATCAGGCAGACCAGCAGGTAACAGACTTAGAGAAGATTTCATCAACGTCCTGAATAGCTTGATTGATGAGGTAATCTGATTCGGCAGAAAGGACCGAATTCGATTCGAATTCACAGTCCAATTGACCGATTCCTCGTTTCTCCATAATTGCATTCAAATGAAAATCCTGCGTGTGTGCGTGTATTTTTCTTGTATATAGCACTCCTTGCTGTTTAACTTCGTTCGCTTCAAGTTATGTAAGGACAAATTTTGCGAACAAGGGGGAATTGAAGTTCGTCGATGTTGTTGTTAGGAAAATCCTCTGACAAGGGAACGTTGGGACTTTCCCTCTTCAGCATTGCGTTAAACTTTGCATATGAGGGTGTTTTGTGGTGGAAACGCCGACTTCAGCTATATTCCTCGCCAGTTCCGCGTGGAAAGTTTGATACAATCGGAACAAAGCTTGGAATAAATACGTTTTGAGTTATTTTTATTCGACGAATGATATAAATAGACGTGTTTTATCTCTCGTTCGTTCCCTGCAATTTTTATTTAGACGAACCAAGCACTCTTCGTTCACACCTCATCGAACGCGCTCGTTTCTCTCATCTGCGATCTCATGTTAAAATTTCAGATTACTCGCGACTAAATTTCTCTCGCGAAGAATCCCTCCTGAAAGAACTGCTTCTTTTTTTCTCGTCCCAGTGAGAGCGCTCCCTTAACCAAAGATCCCTCCATCAAGTTTTGTAACGTCGAGAGAGGATACCGCGAAGATGTAAGCAGACAGGGATAACGGAAATAGAAAAGCGTGGGACGGTGACGACGCGATCTGCGAGCGTCTTACAGATTTAGTCGCAGATGGAGGAGCTGAGGAATTGTTCTCTTTAGAAATGGTTGCTAGAGTCGCAGATAAAAAGGGAGAAATTCTGAATCATTTTACGTTGTAGAGTGCATACCAACTTACCATACGAACACCTAGACCTTATCTTTCACCAATATTTGATTACCTTGCTTACAGCCATAGAGTTCTGTTTTCTAGGGTAAAAATTTAAAAATAAAATTTTTAAGTTTTAGAAAAGGTTGAAAACTTTGCGCGGCGGTAACTTTTTTTGAAATCAAAACATTACAAAAGTTCTCGGTCTAAATTAAGTCCTACTATTAAAAAACAAGTGTGTCAAATTTTATTAATATCGAACTAACCGTTTCTGAGAAAAGTGTGCCTTTATGAAGAAATTTTTATTTACTAAAATACCATATGTTCCGAACCTCTTAAAAGAAAAACCCAAGCAGGCAGTGTTTATCTTCCTTTTTAAAGGAAGTCGTGCTGTAATCCGACATTCCCGTGTCTCTCGTAATCGACATCTTATCGCCCTCGTATCGGTCCTGTTACTTTATCCCAAACGACGGACAAATCCGCCCTCTTGGGTGGAGGGATACAACTTCTATCATCGAGTAGACGAAACCGCGGTCTAGAGCTCCTTCATATGAGGAAAATCACGGAGAAACGGTTCGTTGGTTTGTGGAAACAAGGGAAATATCGTTTTCCAGGCTGCCTGTTGAGCATGGATTCTCCCTTCACCCCCACGACTTTCAGCTCTGCTGCATTTCGTTCGCGGAATGCGCATAAATTCATAGACGAACGAGTCGAAGAGGATTCCAGGAGAAAAGCAACGTTTTGAAGTGATATTTATTAAGTATTAACCGATACGCATTATAGATATCCTTCACCTTCTGCGATGGAAGTTGAGAAGATCTCGCGTGGCATGAAGATAATTAGGTGATTAGGAAACATGGTTACATCGGAGGATGTACTGCGTCAACCCGACGAGAGGGAAAAAGTGGAATGTTTAACGACGAAGGGGAAGCACAGAAGGATATTTTGCCGCGTATATATAGTCATCGAGGGTGCAAAAAATTTACGAGCACGATAAGCCAGCATCCCCTTGACTGATATCATCCGGCCGCAAAATTTCGCCTAAAATTTTCCCCAAACTCGAATTGAATGTTCGTTACCGCCATCGTGGAATGCGTGACTATGCGAAGTGGAAATTGTGTAGGTTTTTTTCTTTTAATTATAAGGATGATACAATTCGGTGTACCTCTTGGGCCTAACACAGTAATTTATGTAAAGTTCAAAGCAAAATTTTGAGAAGAACAAATTAGTATCGATGAAAGTGCTGAATTAGCATAAGTATCAATTACTTTTTCCCGTTGTCGTTGCATTACTGTAACCGCTACTTGGTCGGTTTATATTATCGTACTCCGTGAGATGGAAAATTGAATCCTCTTGCGCGTAAGTACCTCCTGGAGAGTATACTCCTATGAGAATACGAATCAAGATGGGAAGATTTGAAGCTCGACTCGTGGGAAGGTGGAATTCCTAACCATTAGCATCGAATAGTCGATTCGCTTTGCTAATGGTTACTCGAATGTAACGATATTCGGTTAGAATGATAGAATCTATTCGAAGAAATCGATTAAGGGGGTAGTAAATCTTTAAATCTAGGAACTCGCGAGTCTAAAGCTGAAGCAGATGTGATACGACGAGAGAAAAGATTAGAATTCACATATAAGGATCTGTATTCAAAAATATTGAAGAAATGACAGGAAAGATTTGCAGCTACAAAACTAGAAAGTTCTATTTCAAGCTATTCACTCGCATATTTACTTTTGCTATAAAATATACTTTTATCCTATCTCAATTTTGATTTTACAATTTTTCCACGGTCGACAGTAATTTTGGTATATATAGTTTCATTCGCATTATCATAGTTATCACGAAATCTGTAATATGTAGGCCATCGACCAATGTCACATAGGGTCCCACATGCCTCCAGGTCTACTCTGTCTGGATGTAACGTCCACGATGTGTCCCAGCACTCATAGTGCTCGTGGACCTCTCCATTATTACAGAAACTGACGCTCTCGACATCAATCTATTTTTAACGTGATGCTCTTAACATTTTCATCGATCGCACATGACGCACAAAAACGCCCACTGAACTAGATTTCGTCGACGACAGACCCGATAGGTCGTTGTCGAGATCCATAAATATAATCGAACAATCTCTTTCTGCGAAAAATGGTCGTCCGAGTGCTTTTCACGAGGACGACGTCGAAAACACCTGTCCGAACGCATAGACAGCGCTGATGCATACGACACCGCGGCGCCGCGAGATCGAGATCAGCTATTCGGGCTCTATTGCACCTGAATATCGCGTCAAATTGCGAATATATACACCATAAATTTTCGATCGGGTGCACTTTATTAACCCTTTCAGAATTTTTTTTTCTCGTACTAATGTAACTTAATTTTTAGGGTTAACTTGGACCAAAATTAGAACGGGAAAAAATCCTAATAGTGTTGTTTTCAAGAAAAACTGACATTCGCCCTAAACGATAGTGTCGGTAATGTATGAATCTTATTAAATTTTGTGTCCTTAGGAATTCCTGATTGATAGAAGGACTCGTCTATTCGCGAAGTAGCAGTTTTTGCGATCGGCAGTAGTCGAAATCAATGCTTTGTGCACCCGTGACGCGCGCCGTCGACAATTACTACTGTGAAACGAAGCCTTAAACCCGACTTCTTTGTTCGTTATTTTCATCTATTCATTATGTTGACCTATAAAATCACACCCTAAAATTCTTTACACCTTGAACGTTACATCCAGGAAAAGACAATCGAGAAACATGACCCCAGGACCTAACTCTTTCATTAAAAATAAAATAGCGAGCATACCTTCTCATTCGTGAGCTAAATCACGAGCTAACGTACCTCTTGACGATCACACGAAGACTTTCGAATCTTACTTACTCAAAGATATTCTACGGACACCTCCAGATTGGTTTCTCTGGATATCGCAAAACTCTTCGATGGCACGTAGTAAATACAACAATGTAAATTCACAATATATTCGTGACTGGATATACAGCAAGGGGCTTACACGGCAGCTACAATATGCTTCCGTTGGCCTGTAGGCGATTAAGTTCCCAAAGTGGATTTCATCCGATCCGTGATACTTTGACGCAATTAAACCCCACGAGCTAATCTCGATCTCGCGCCGGCGGCGCATCCATCAGCGATGTCTCTGCTCCGAACAGCTCCCGCCTTCGATGGAACGCGAATAGTTGTCAGTAACACGTCAGAAATATCAGTTTTCATCGTTGTTGGATGACTTATCGACGCTATCCGCGTTGAATCGCTGCAACTATAAATCACGTCGCTGTTACGTGAACTAGCCATGCAACGTGATCGTTCAAGAGGCACATCCGCTCGGCCATTAGTGGACAGGTATCTTGAGTGGCCAACAATGGAGGAATACGTGCAGAGAAACCGATAGGTTAAGTCCATTAGTGGACAGGTATCTCAAGTAGTCAACAATGGAGGAAAACGTGCAGAGAAAATAATGTTTTATCCAGAATTATTTCCTGGTTCCACGCGTTGAAACGTGAACTCTTACAAACTCCGATCACCAGTGATCCAATTTTCACAAAAATTAAGGATGATGGGTTTCTTTTTTACCTTGCGTTTAAACAAAATTTGGAAAACGTGGCATTAATAAGGCTTCGTTAAAAAATTCGCGAGAAACCTCCATATACAGTTTCAAAATAAATCTCAATTTTCCTGTTTGATAGCTTGTCGCAGATGATGCATTGGCATTGTTTCCTCGAGATGGTATCTCGAGTGGATTTCATTCCACGATTCCAGGACTAAATATACCACCGGGTCGACGTTCCTTCATCTTATCGATCTCTTCATCTATTAATCACTTAGCGGTGAAACCGTCGCGTCTATTTCGCGACGGCAACCCGCCATAAATAACCATGGCAACGTTTCGCCGAGATCTCTATACTCGGAGTTTCGTCGTTTCCCCTTTTCTTCCGGCTATTTGTCGTCCGATGTCCGTCATTTTTAATAAAAAGAACTTCCTGCTCAGGAAGGTATCTTTGATGCATTCGCTTTGTTGCGCCGTTTGCCCCAATTCCGCTATTGTTTATCGCTCCGTCCGCGACAGGAGAAGGATTACCGTGCTTGAAAAAAATGTATAAAGTTTTCTCCACTTTTTAAAATTTTCTTCTACGAAGACGTTCTTCTGAACCGTGCTTAGAAAGGCTAGGAACAGCTACCCCGAGGAATGTTAATATTCGATTCAAGCTTCGTGCAATTTCCTGCAGAGCACCGAAATCCGGCCGAGCTTCCTTCTGGATGTAATTTATAAGTTTTAAGTATCTCTGTACGCGCCAGTTTTCTCCGATAGGATATCCGCGGGGTTAAATATACCGTCGTATATAACGGAACTTCCGCGGAAAGACTTGGACCATTCGAATCGCATTTCGAGCCAGACCCGCTGCGCGAACGCAGCCGAAGGCGGAAAATCGCTTCTTTATGCGCTTGCATAAGCACCGTATAGCTTGGCGGGCCAGATTTTTATGGGACTTCGCCAAAGGGTTCACGCAAACGCCCGATGTCGCCATAGATGCGACGCTGCCTCTCGTATTTCTTCCCTGTCATGTTCGCTTGTCTGCATCCATTCATCGTGTGTTATCGCTCGACACAAAAGTTTGTTTCTCAAATTCTTCTCCGTGATACTACTTTCAAAGTCAGAACTTGCATTCCTGTTGAATTTAAAGAAAAAATGGTTACCCGCTCGTTAGTTCTCCTTTCCTCGATTTTGTCGTGCATTCTTTTTAGCGAAACGTCAAACTGTTTATCAAGTTCATTTTCCCGATTAACGAAAGTAGCGACAGTGTGACGTTAGCACGAGGGAAAAAATGAACGTTCACCTGCTAATTAAATTGCTCGACCACGAGCTCAGCTTCAAAAGAGTGACAATCCTTCACACACACCTCTTTCAGCGCAACGAAGGTTCTGTATTGTAAAAATAATGAATCTTACGTTTACGCATTGACGTCATAGAAAAATCATGTGAGAGAATTTAATACGCGAACATTATTCGAGTACACAGTATAGAATATCGAGTTTTACCAGCTTCGATACTCGACGCAGCTCTTTGCAAATTGCAGTTCGCGAATGTCGCTTTCGAAGCTTATCACCTTGGCTATCCCCGCATTACAGTAGACCACGAGAACGTTCTGTCCATGTACCAACCGAATAAGGTTCGAATTTCTCGAGGTAATGTACTGGAACCTTCGTTGCTTACTTTATGTACCACGCGTATACATACCAACTCACGCGAAACCAACGGTAACAACGTCTGCTGATGACACAGCCGTTGTAACAATCACAGGAGCCCCAATTGAAGCATTGTGTAACCTCCAGGAACATGTACGCTTAATTGACAGTGCATAAAGGGAATTAACCCTTCGACCCTAGTGGGACATGCATGTCCCAGGGAATATTTCTGATTGCTCTTTAACCAAATTGCGACTTACAAGTAGACTTACAGGAATATATGTGAAAAAATGAAAATCATTCACGGTGAGGCGTATTGTTTTTTCTTGTTCGGCACAGCCATTGATATATAGCCAACCCTAGTTTAATACAATTAATTTCTAAAAGAGAAATTAATAGATTACAATGATATTTATTAACAGAACAAGATAGTCACTTACTGCTAATATGGAAACTATAATAGTACAGTTTCGTTTAAAGAGCGAATACGATTTTTCATGTGAGATGCGAGAAGTTCTGCGATCGAAAATAGTATTTTAAATTATTTTGGATGGATCTTGGTAGGCCCGAAGAGACTAAATAATTAATCGTTGATCGAGTAGTTAATTCAAAAGAATAATATCAGTGGAACAGTCATATCAAATAGTTGAACACCTGATTTGACTCTTTGTTCCCTGCTCGTTTTCATTAAAAGATTCGAGATGGGTTGGAAAAAAATGGTAAAGTATAATCGGATCAGTGCAACGAGTCGTTATTTCGCGCTGCATAATCGCGTTATTTCCTTAGCGTAATGCAGCGACTCGGCATTTTCCAAAGGGGACGACTCGATTGTCTTTCTACTCGTGGAGAAACTTTTCCTCGTCGAGAGCTTGTTTCAACTCTTAACTCTCAGCGTGGACTGTTTCAAAAGTGTTCCTCGTTTTACCCAAGCGTGGTAAGAAGGAGGCACGAAGTAAAAAAGAAGTACAAAATTGGCGATGTTAAAGTTAAGAACGGACCATCGAACCAGCGCTTCTCATTCTTCTTTAGCTTCTGACCTCTTAGTTTTATTTCTCTGCGTAACTGCATCTCTCGTAGTTGCTGCAGCTGATAAAAATAATAGTACAACGAGGATCAATATTTGACAGTCCTTAACTATAATTTATTTATGTTTTCTTAGCTTTGAACCATTACAATTTAAAGATAACTAAATTGTTTAATACATTAAAGCATTAGTTAACATTCCTCTCAGCTTCTTCTTAAAATTAACAAAGTTTCTATCTCGCAATGATTCTATCCTTTCCACTTATACATATAATTATATAGTATGGTTATAACGTTACGATAATATTTCTCGCGGTCCAGTCAGAAGTTGCGACTTTCCGTCGTCATTCCATATAGACGCCCGTTGAGAATCCCTACATTAAACGACCATCGTAAAGCCGCGATCGCTTCCCCTTTCACGGTTTACCATTAATCTCTGTACATTTATGACCGATGGTCTTTCAGGATCAACGTGTCTTCCTCATGCCCTGGATCATCACTGTCATCGCGACATGCCTCGTCGACGTGGCGCATTCCCTGTACCTGTTCGTCGCTGTTGTAAGTACATTCTTCTTCTAAGGCATGGAATTTTTAATGACACCTTGAAAATCATAGTAATAGAATCGTTCTAATAACAAAGAAACGACTGTGTATGAGAGTACACCCTTCATTCCTCTAATTTTTATAATTTTTAATAATTTTTAATTAAATTAATTTAATTTAAATTTTAATCATTTTTAACACCGACTTATATTGAGCACACGAGCTAGGATACCTCATTCTTTTATTTTCTCTTTAAATTTACCACCATGATTGAGTTCCCATCTGCATCTTTCATCCTTCGACTCGTTTCACTTGACAACCTCATTAACATTTTCACTTTGAAAGGTTCTCGCAGTATACAAACTGATCGATCAGTAAACATCTACGATCCTAATTAGAGAGTATTTCTTTCATCCCTGACGCCTGCTTTATACTCCATAAACTAAGTCCTCTTGTTGCCCGCAGCAGTGTATCACGTTGAAATTCCTTTGTCTTTAATAGTGCAGAGTGCGTTACAAAGCTATTCTAAACGATGCATAAATATCTCGTATTTTGAAAACGCTGCATGCAAGGATTCACTAGATATTTAATACATATCTGTATCGTATATACGTTCGTTTCTATCATACTTTACGTCTGGTTCGTTTCTATAAATCTTCCAAAAGCATGGTTCTCGAATTATTCGGAACAGCGCAATTTCCACGCTCGGCCAATCAGAAAAATTACATTATCGATACACGTCCGAGCAAGGGTCGCGATGTACAGTGATTCAGGAAAGTATTCAAACCACTGGGAAACGAACGCTCGATGCACGAAGCGACAAAGCTACAGAAATTGACAGAAAGCTAGACAAGTTTATTATCCTTTCAAAGATGCATTTCTAAACGATACAGTTGGATTATAGAAATTTAGAAAAACACAAAATATTGTAAAATAACTTTATTACAAATTGTGCCACTGCTAGAACAAGAGTGTTTCGATAATCTAACGCAACATCGCGTTTTTCAAGCCACGAAAGATCCGTTTTCAAAATTGCTCGAATACCATCCCGAGGCACTGTACGTCGAAAAGAAAAGCCGAACAAGATATGTACGTGTCTGCGGTTGGAACAAATGGATCCTCGCGAGAGTTGACACGGAATTCGAGCATTGTTAGCTACGTGTTCGCGTATCTCCTCGGTTTCTCCCCGCTATTCGTGAGAACCGGCCATATGATTCTCCTTTCGCGTGGTAAAAGGATATGTCCGTGATAATTGCTCGGGTGTCTCGACCCTTGCAAACATTTCGCTGAGAAAGAAAACCTCCCTTTACGCCTTTTTCTCTAACGCGAAACGCGCGTTACGTCGTGGCACGATACGATATGGAAACTGGAAATGCGATTTCGAACGAGCTTGCATTTCGGAATCTCGAACGAGCATCGGTTTTACACGCTTCGGCGGCGTGCAATTGCCGTTACGATTCGTCGCAGAGATTTTCGATTAGGTACTTCTTCGACCCAGTTCGCCGCACGGACATCCAGTTTTCGAATTTATTCTTTTATATTAGAATGTCGAGGGTAACAAGAACATCCACGAATGGCGAAACGCTGAATATGGAAATGGAGCTGTTCGTTTCGATGAAATGCTCCTAGTCCTCGTGTTTGACATTGTTATTCAAACAATGGGATTCGGAGAACGATGCGCATATTGCATGGTATGAATCTAGTTTTACATAAACCGTGTAGTTCCGTTTTCTTTGATCTTGGCGCGGGAATTTTGAATAGGAATAATAAAGGATATTCCAGAGCGAGCCTTAGAATTTTATTGACTTTATTTTGTAAAATATGTAAGATATGAAATACACTCGATTTCTTTATTTGAAATGAAAGTACACGTGATCGATGTTTTAGTGTCCACTACGACTATTTCGTCCTATGTTGAATAACTCTTGGATCTTCTTTATTTTGTACTGAAGAAACTAAATCGAAGCTTTAGCAACGTTCTTACTATTAAAAAAAATACTCTCACCAAAACTGATTGCTCTTTCCTAGCAAGTCACTCTTTAGCTCGCGTTCTCTTCCAAATTTATCAGAACTTTTCATCACGACAGAAATTCTTGCTCGATTACCGAGTAATTTCCCAAGTTTCAACTTCGATAAAATCAGAGTTCGAATCGCTTTCCGCGAAACTTTCTTCGTTTTAACCGACTTTTAAATTTCCCGCTCACGGAATACCCGCGACTATTTTTAAACGTACGTCTTACAACTTTTCCACGACGTTGAAGTTGTTTTAACGGGCCGAATAGAGCTCTAGGCGCATTTAATGCCAGCCAGGGGATTCCTAGACGCAATCGACGCTAACTTTTCCTACGATGTCGTGCCTTCCTCCATTGTCGCGCGATTACCGCCCTCTCGAACTGCGAAACACTTTTTTCGTCCACGAAGAATCCACTGCATGATATAAAAAGTAACAACCGGGTAATTACGCTACCGTAACCCGAAACCTGCCTCGGTTCGAAACGCTTTTTCCTTTCGCTGGCGAAGCTGATAAGGTGGAAACGTTCTATCAACCGCTTCGTTTTAAAGCAGATTCCGAAGAACAATCATATTTTTTGACGATGAAAACACGAATTTTCCAAGCCTTGAACTGTAATGAACATCTATTGATATCAACCGAGACTTCCAACGTGTCCTTTCCATAAAATTCCCTAGATAAGAAGACCCTTTTCGGTCTGAGAATGATAGAGTAGACTCACCTACAAGTCTCAGTGTTGTCTCCTCTTTTCATCCCTTCAAGCTCCACTGCTAATTATATTTTAAAACCGTTTTCTATTCGTGTAAACTACCACTTTTATCTTAGTTTGCACATCCTCAAGATTTTGATATATTTAGAAAGCCAATTATTCCTAGTACTCGTCATCGAGATACTTTGACATCTTTAGCGAGCTCGTTAGCAAGCTTTTAATTCCTCCAACGAGTTGAGTAACAGGATATCCGTGACTCCGCCAGGTAGCTTGGTACCTTTGCAGAGACGGTTTATTCCGCTCTCACTTATTTAACGCGTTTTGACGTCTTTAGAAGACCAATTTATTTTCCTTCCCACTTATTCCACGCTCGTGGATCTACGAGGTTTTCATGTCCCTCAAGAGTTTACTTATTCTGCGTGTTCACATATCCGACTTGGTACGAAATGTTCCGAGAACCAACTTATTCTGGATTCGCTCGAATAAACCAGCTCTGCAACGAAGTCGAAATATCGTTCGAACATGCATTAAATATTCGGTTTATAGACTTTTGCAAACTTTTACAACGACACTTTCGACACTTTATTTCTTACACTTGGAATATTCATGAGATACAAGGAAACTTCACATAGAAAGAATTAATAATATCATTTGCCAATATAACCATAGAAGTTATAAATGACACAGAATTAATTTCAACACCTAATAACAAAATTCTTCCACGCTACGTGTACCTTATGCTTCATCGAATTTACGTTCTAGAATTTCCAAGCGGAGCAATTTTCCAACTGCATCGTGTTAAGAATACATAGAATAAAAACGCGAGGTGTCATTGTACTCCCGGGTATCCCAATGGATTGATATTGAACGCTTTCGTTGTGGCGAATACCGTGATTAGATTAACGTCTGCTCGCGATACTACTCTATGTCGAGATCCTTGATCGAGATTCCTATAGCCACCTGTGCGCGGCGGAGAATCAATCCTTGGGTAAATTGCATTATGTCACTTCGCTTATGCGAAAGCATGCGGACGCATCATTGAGTTATTCAAATCGAGTAGATGCGTGTCAAGTCAAATATAGATTATTATTATAGGACGCCGGAAGGTTGATGCGAAGTGACACGGAATTTGCGAATAACGGAAAATGCACGCTGCCGGATGTACATCTCCGACGCGTGGCCATTAAAAAAATGTCAACCGCGCGATGAAACGCTTTTTACGGGTGTTTTATGAGACCCTCGGATATTGCGTTCAGGCTCGGTGATTAAATTACATTTTCACAACGGGAACGTATAAGATTTAATCTGGAGATGATAAACGCGCATAAAAATATGTATCTAGAACGAATGGAAACTGGAAACTGAATGATCTTCCTCGAATGCCAAATGTTATTTTATAGCCAAGTTTAACTAGCCACGATACACGTATATTTTTCTGTTACGTAAACAAACCTGGAAGGTATTTTTGGAACTTTGTTTCTCTTCCAATTTTTTCATGGAGGTTGACACCAAAATATAAACACCAGTATTTTTTGAATTTTTGCTTGTGCTGCTCCACATCTACAAAATTATTACATTATCTACTTCAAAATCAGCCTTTAATATACGCGAAAGAAAATATTTTAAATAAAATCCGATGTTTATACGCTGTATTTCAAAGTTATTTATACATCATTTTTGCTGTCGACCACACACCGAGGTCGTTTCAGTTAGCCAACTGTGTACGATAAAAAAATTGGTGAAATTGAATATTCCAGCCCGTTGATAAAAAGTATAAACGCATAGGCATCGTTGCAGCTCACAAGAAAATATACACGACGCGAGCCGCGTACTATTACCGCGTGCAGGGTAGCCAGATGCAGGGGTTGGTTCTCCCGGTATAACAGCACATCTAGCAGCATCGGGCGACGGTACGTGCAATCTTCATTAACGTCTTTGCCGTTAGCGCGCCGAGCATTTTTCTCGTAAAATAGAAACAGGAAAAAGCGTTGTTTCAGCACGAACATCGGGTGGCTATCCCTTCAAAGACAACGCAAAAAGAAATCATGATTCCTCCCTCGTAATTAAACAGAAATATGAAGGCAACTAATTGCCTGATTTGTTCTCGTTCGCTTTGATACAATTAGTTACAGGCAGGATCGAAACAAGAAGTGAAGTTGGAACTCTTTCACTCGAGTACACGTACAAAGACTTTTTTTTAAACGAGTCTACGAAATTTATGTGAAAAGGAACAGAAACAATTTCTTTTTATTTTCTTTTTTAATTCAGTAGAACGGAAGCTCGAAAAATGTTTATGGATGCAAAACTTGCAGCGACATAGCGACTGCCAGATGCTGGTCGAGGTTGAAAATAACAACGCCTGATGGAGTTACGCAACGAAAAACTGTTGCGGACTCGGTTCTCTCATTTCAACTTGGTTTCAAAGCACTGTTCTATATTTTTTTTACCGCTTTCGCATAGATTCGGCTAGCAGGTTTGAACAAAATTGAGAGAAACCGAACGGGAATTGGTTGGGACTTCACCACTCTCTCTGTAAAACGATTGGAGTATAAAATACTGCAACTGAATTTCTTCGTGAATTGCACGTGACACCACGCGTTTCGATAAAGAATGGAATATATCGGAAACTTATTTATCGTCGATGTTCATTTTGTTATCGCGCCTCGAACCGACTGGAGTCGTCAACATTGAGATATATTTTTGAAACGAACGTGGAATGAAGTATTAAGTGTAGAAATTAATTCTGCTCCTCTATACTCAATTATGTTTAACTTTAGATTAAATAGATATATTTACTCGTCATTTTGGTACTTTGAGTCCTCGACCTGATCTCCATTACAAATTTTGCTTAATGTTATCCTTGTACAAGTACTGTAGCTATCAAGCACGCTTGTAACTGCATGCTCTTACCTCAGGAAATTGAATTCATAGCAGGAGTGCAGTGAAAGTACCTACTTGACTCGAACAATAGTAAACATCAGCCTTTATTGCCCATCCTGTAATTGATTTCTGGTGGTGTAACGATTCCTGTAATGTCTCTATTCTCGCAATACATTTCTCGAACCAGCGTTTCTCATTGTCCAATCGCAAGCCACCTTGTAATAATCATTCCATATTTAATAGTCTCCCAATATATTTATGGAACGTGTACATGAATTACGCAAAATATAAAAGTGTAAAAGTATAATAATGTTCAAATTAGAAAGTCGATTAAAAGTTTCCAGTATTCCAATAGCGTCCCTTATTTATCCACGTATACTTGGCACTATAAGGTGCTGTTATTGGAACAAAAAAAAAACATACGTGCGGTGGCCATTGCGGTAAGAAGGGTATTTTTCTTTTCCTTTTATTAGAAATACCGTAAAACGAGTCACTGGAGCGGCTATAAACGACACACACGTAGAACGAAACAAGGCCAAAATTAGTTTTCTCTGGTCGAGCAATTGTTTGAAGCACATATTAAAAATACCGGAAAAATATTTTAATGCTTGGAAGATTCTTGAAACAACACAATATCTTCCGTGCGAGGAATTGTGTATTCGTTGGACCGCAAACCGTAATTCATAAACATTTTCAGACAACAAAGCATCATACTTTATAAAGATATGAAGGAAAACGTGAGAAATAATTGTGAACTGTTTACAAATTGTTTCTCTTTGAATAACAGGCATCTTGAAAAATGTATATCTTCTTTTCATAATCATTCTTTTCGTCTTCAAATCCCCTGTACGCAAGGATAAATGAACGAATTCCTCGCAGAATCCATATTGTTTTTAAAAAAAAAGTTTTTCGACGAATCGTGCACATGTAAGTTCGATTTTCCAGGCCGACGTTCCCTTTAGTTTTAAGCTGCCGTTTACTGCGAACGTTTGGAATGCTTCTAGGCATCGATTGCTTTGTCCACAAAGCAACGATAACGCGTCCTTTTCAGCGAAGGGGATGCAAGCTAGCTGCGTAAGCGTTGGCTGCAACGGCTGATCGAAAAAAGCAGTTTTCAAAGGATATTCAACCGTTGTTTACGGAAAAAATAAAACGTTCGTTCGACGCTCATTTCGGCATTGTTTCCAGTGTTTTGCTATAATTAAATCGATCAAACGCAGGACGTTATATACGGGCGACGTTCAATGGAATGATTGAATTTTCTCGCCATTTTGTTTCAGTCCACTCTTGACCCGACGAAAGTGATGCTTTATACGCTGAGCTTCTTCCTTCTCTGTCTGAACGTAAGTAAATTTTTATTTTATGGACTTGCATCCTATTTTTCTTTCGTTTTGTTTTTGTTTTTTATCTGATCCCTTGTGAAGAATGTCAAAGAATAGAGAAAATAGAATAGAATGGATAAGAGTCCAGTGGTCTTGGTCGCCTGTACCAAAAGTGAAATAAACCAGCATGGCCTAAACACCGTACCAAATAATCAAAGTCACGTTCTCTGTGGTTTGCTTCAGGTATATTCGGTGTTGTGCGTCATCTCGCAGTATCAAGAATACGTGGCTGGTCGAGGCACCGCCGCGGATGACTACGAGTATAGGGTCAGTATTCTGAGAGTCTCACCGCGGAAACAGGAACGGGATAAGGGACGAAAAGTTAAGTGCACTAATTGTATTGTTCAAATAGTCTGTAACTCTTAAAGAACACAGCGAGAACCAGCGTAATCTAATGATTGATCCGATAAGAGCTCAGAACATAATCGATAGAACAGTGACTATAAAGTAACAGTCACCAAGGAGATTATTTTTTCTTTTAAACCATTTCCTCTGCCAAAGTTGCTATTTGTATTAATAATTCTCTATCAACTAGTTCTAATGTCTGGTCACCATTCTTTCCTCGACTTCGATCATTTTACCTGTCGTTTTCGAATCGAACCATTTCACGAAATATCTGAGGCTCGCGGGTCTCTTAAATGCATTTCATTTGAATACAAAAAGAACAACGCCCAGAGGGTCCACAATCGACTCGCTTCGGTTTATACACGTGCCATTATTAGACAGCAGCGACAAATATCTTTCGAGAGAGTCTTGACACGCGTGCAACAAATTCACAATAAGGTTACTTCCCATTGCGACCGTAATCACCGTTGGTAAGAGTCGAAGTGACAAAGATTCCCTTCGGGGGGAAACTCGATTATGTCCCATCAGGGATGTCTACGGGCATCCAACCTTTCCGAAGAAATCACTGAACTTCCCACGTGGAAAGGTCTCCGGAGTATATCGATATCGAGCAACCTTATTATCGAAATGGAAAGCTCTCTGCCAGCCTGGCTGTACATGTTCGTCGTTTCCACGATTTCGTTAAACGATAGTTACTCTATCTATTTACCGAATGGAATTCTGCCGTCAAGAATTAAAAATGTACGTCACTTAGGGTAAATGTTTTTACTCGAAACGTTTGATATTAATTTATCCTCGATACCGATCGTTCCTGCGATAAAAGATGATTTGAAATTCCAACTGATGAGTTTGGGAAAATAACTCGTTATTAGTCGATCAGAAATAATTATTTATTAATTTCAAATACAACGAGGATCACCATTTGTCAGTTTCAACGCGAACGTTATTTATCACGACTCGACTCTTGAATTTCCAATGCCTCAGAACAGAGAACAGAGAATGAGCATCTCAAACAATTGTGCAACCTTATCCAACGCTATTCAGGTTAATCAATGATCACTAAATTAGACCTCAATCATATTTCTAATTCAAACTATTTTTCCAGATAAATCTACTTATGTAGATTCTACTGTATTGTATTGCAAATTTCTATTGAGAGGCCTATAGGTATCACTATCCTCCCAGTTAGTCCTGTGACTTCCACAGCTTATCGCAGTAGCTGTGAAGTCGAGTACGCCATCCACGAAATATACATATTTATAGATGAAAATCGATCGCTGAATACCACCAGTTTTCGAACTCGATGCTTCCCCGATAAAACGCCCACCCGATCGCGTCGAACATCAAAGAAACCCGCGCCTCCATTTGAGGAAGAGTTTCGTTGCCACCGACTACTGGCCATCTCGTGGCACGTCTCGTTTGAGGTCTAATTACAAAATGGGGCTTATGAAGTGCCCTTTGAAGGTTCCAGCAGTGAGGTACGCAACGCAGCCACCGACTACGACCGCTACATCTTGCTTGAGCTCCCGTCGTACAGCGACCAACAACGAAACCAAAGCGACCGCAACACCGACGCAGAGTTTCACGACGGGTCAGAACGCTCATTCGTTGGAGAAGAGTCCTGTCTCGGCTCGTCCGCCTAGGAAGCACGTCCAATTTCCCGACACGGCCTCGGAATGTCAAATGAGGAAAACTGGTAAGCTCGGCCCGTGGTCCGAATGAAATCAATTTGCCCTTGCCCCCGACCTCTGACCGCCCCCATCGCGGTGGTGGATTTTACCTTGCGTAGGGAGTGTCCAGGATAAGCTCCTGGATATCTGAATTACGACGTTACCATACCACCTAACGTAGTAGCAGGGAATTCTCGCGAGTAGAAAGAGACGTACTTCCATCCCTTAAGAGAGCAGTGTAAAAGATTTTCAATCTTAAAAAAAAAATCAGGATAGGCAAATCCTGTTAACCGGCCACCCCAGGATAATCGAATATCCGAAACTAGTTTTCGGGTGGAGTTCACAAGATTGATTACACAATACTAATGAACTCGGCAGCCACGATGTGGCACGCACTGTTAAATTTCCAGTACATTACGTTACCGAAAATTGATCCCATAATTATATCGTCGGCTAATTTCGTAACGTTTACCGACCTCAAATCGATCCGGTCAAAGAGTAAGTTTGATTACATCGGGCAAACGACGGAACCCGGTGTGCTTCGATTATTATTGTGCTCTCTCCGCGGTGTACATGAAACAAAGGAGAGCGTTTATTGTTTCGAGGCAAGTTAACTGCGATGAAATACGTTCGATCGTTAGCACGGGCGAATAGCGTTCGCAGCGTGCCTTTGATCTGAAAATTGCATTCCTCGCTCTGGCAAATTTCGATCAACGTCTTCGCTACTGCACTTCCTCCTCGTGCACTGTTGCGCTGGTATTCTAATCTGTGCTTCGCAGTTTGCCGTGATAAACCTTAAGTTAACAGGTTGAGAGCCATGGCTCTGAATCTAGCCTTGTATTTATCCAGTTCTTTGTGCAGAACTTGTTTCTAATGTTGTTCTGTTCAATTGGCGAAAGACGTACGCTACTGTAATACATTAAATTTCATACAGTATTAGATTATTAGATTAACTTGTGTGCAATATATCGCTGCTCGAAGCTCTAAGTGCTACGACTCATTAAAATTATCTGGCATTTCTTGGATATGTATGGAAATTTCCTCTGGCACTCAAAGGGTTAATTTTGGATATCGTAAGTTGTTTCTTACATCAATGATGAATTTTAGTCTCTATAATGCTTAGCACTCCACCTGTTAAAGATAAAAGTAGAACCATAGTTTCGATTCCCTATTACCTATTTCGTTGAAAGCTAAGTTCCACTTTTAAACCAATCTTTACCTTCAAATTTGTTATATCTGGCCCAAAATCAATGTACGTTAATAATAAGAAAATAATTGCCTCATCTACGAGGCCACGCATAGATATTCGACTCTGTTCTATTTCAGAGAGTACGGTCACGGTGCTGGTGTCCAAAATAGAGACCCCCAACGCGATACCAACATCCTCGTTCAAAGAACTACCGGCGAAGGATCAAACTCTCCCACCCGAGAAGAACAACCTAATTCAACACACCTGAACCACGACCAACTCTGTCAAACGTTGACGCCAATTAAAGGACATTCTCGTCTCATAACGGGAGAGTAGCGTAAAACGAAATCGATTCACCGACACCCCCGCCATGAATTCGATGAATAAATTATCCTCGAAAGGACATATCCACTTGTACGAGCCAAACTCCGTCAAAGGCGAGACTGACGGTCAAACAGCCACGTTGTGCTGGTTCGCTCGATGGTGATTTGGTCCACGGCCAGTTCCAACCGCGAATTGGTTCCAACCAATAGAATCCGCCGATCAATCGTCCAACAGTTGTTCAAGTTTCTCATGACACACTTATCGAGTTCCACGATGACGCGACTTTGCTGGACCATTTGTCATAAGGAGCAGATGTTATCACTCGAAGTCTCGAAGAATCGAAGATTGGGACGTACGTTCGAGTTCGAGTACTGAACGCATTCCCAGGAAACATTGTCTCGGGACATCGGCGACGAGGAATTTCAATGGACCAAAATTTCGTCTGCATTCAGTTTTAAATTACTCGCCGTACGGAGAGTCGTTCGAGTGGTGAGCGGGCTCGCATCGCGTGCCTGGGATGTTTGAGCAGGGAAAACGAAAGCTTTTACGCTAATGGATCGCACAAATGACCCGAGAAACGGCGACCAGTTATGGATTACGACGTTTTGACGAGTCGACGCTCCACTGGAAAATTCTAGTGGACTCGTCGAGATGTTCAATACTTGGCTCGAGATATATAAGAGTTAGATGTTGGTAAGCAGATTCAGTGAGAAGATTCCCTAAGGACAAACTTTCTTGGAATTAAACGGGGGTTTCGAGTATGTAACCTCGATGAATCAATTGATTGATGAAAATAGAAGCGCGAAGAGAGGCCTTGATCTCTGGCCTTGATAGGAGGCATGTTAAGAAACGGTCCATCGACCTTAACGTACATCACTTGCTTCGAGAACTGTTCTTCGAGGAATTCCAGATGGGTTTTAAGAAAATTACTCATGGTTGATGTTGCAATGCCACGAGAAAATAGACGTATTCTCTCTGTGGACCTAAAAACATCGCGTAAGAAGGCAAAATCGAGTTCAACAGAATAGAATCCACTGATAACGTTTGCACGAGTGTCGATCAATGAGCATCTGTCTTCCCATCGAGGACGTTTCAGTGGTTCTTTCGCCAAGTACCAAGAAGCTTTCGAATTTCTCAAGATATTCCAAAACGTCTTGACGTCTTTACTTCTCTAAGTCTATCGAATCAGACTACAAAAGTGTAATAAATTCTCGCGACGAAGGACAGTCGATCCTATTTTTGTACTTGCGCATTTTCAGACAAAAACGTATGTGTCATCCCTAATTTTCTTTCCAGTCTTCGTTTCAGTTTATTGGAATCGTAAACATCGTCCATTCCGGAGACACTTCAAAATCGACTGCGTTCCGACATGAATTTATAGCTCGATTCTCGATTACCAGACAGTACGTATCCTCGAATGTATATATTATTGTAAATTTAATCGTGTTACAGTACCTGTTTGTATAGATTCCAAAGAGGACTTTTAAAAGGCTGTTTGAACATTTTCAATAAATAATTTATGTGGTTTTTTAATCCAGAGTACAATCATTCCCACGTTATCAACACTTGATGAGAGTCAGACTGTCATAGAAGGAGCACGAATCCTCGATATTACTTGAATATATGGTCCTGATCAAAGGACCTCTCCCAAAAAATCAATATTATAATATTATTCAATTCACCTTCACCAACAAAAATTAGTATCATCTATTAATACAGAAATAACGAAACAGATTGTTCTGTCAATTTTTATTATGAACTCGCCATCAGAACGATCGTGCCATGCGCTCGAAAGAATGAAAAGTGAAAAATGATATTACAAAGTCCCTTGGATAAGAAAAGTGTAAAACGATATAACAAACAAATTTCAAATAAAATAGTAAAAATACTTCCTAGATTAGGTGTAGGTACGTGCTTTATTCCCGAATTAACCCCTCAAGCTACGATTTAAACTTCAACAGCCTTAGACCAAAATATGATAGTCAGTTTTAGACCGAATATTCGACCAGGAGTCTCACGCGTGGTTGTAGCTTAACGGGTTAATCATCCCGATTGTTTTTCTTGCTTGACGTCGCTTGTTTAACTATCTCGAATGAAATTCTTTATTCATTTTTCTTTGGACGCCTTTGAACTACATCTCGTGTTAGCATCTCGGTCGTCATTTTTTCGCGAAGCTGCCAATCTTCTCCTGTATCAGCGATAGGGTCATCCTCTTCGTTTCCGGGAGATAGAATATCAAGAACAAGATGCCAAACGCGTTGAGTCCAGTGACGAGCCAGAAAGCGGCGTACAGACTGTGCTGAAACGCGACGAGGCTCCAAACGCACACCATGGCGAACGACCAAAGCGAGTTCAAGCAGAAGCACAGGCTTACGCAGGTTGCTTTCGCGTACATCGGGAAAATTTCATTCATTACAACGAAAGGCACGCTGGCCAATCCCAAAGATATGCTCGCGGCGTAGAACAATACCGCCACGAAGGCCACCCATTGCAGGCTGTTGACGTCGACGTAGTGTTCCTGCATGCAGAAGTAAATACCCAAGAAGAAGCTGCAGGTGGCAACCCCGATGACGGAGGCGATCATCAGAGGTCTTCTTCCCAAACGATCCACTTGACCGATGCACAAGAGGTAAGAGATGAGATGCACCGTCGCCAGAACGATGCTCATGTATGAACCTGACAGCTCGACGTCGGCGTCGTGGATGTACTCGAAGAGCGTTTGGGCGTAACCGATTACAATTATCGAGCCAGAGAATGCCTGCATGGTCATTATGCATGCGCCGATCAGGATCCCCTTCTTGCCGCCTGAAAAGTTTCAAGTTGAGGTATCAGAATCGTAGCAGCTCAAAGGAGAGGTGTCCAATTCGTATATCGAACATCAAGGATCGAGCTACTGGTCTCGTTTTATTTGCTTAAATTCCAATTTAATTTCTTGTTCTACTGGTAGGAAATATAGGATACAGTATCTTAACTGGTACGATTTTGGCAAGTCTCCCTTGCACAAGGAGGTTCTTTTTGCATGTATTAAACGATAGAACGCTGATAAAAAATGAGCAAACTTGAACTGTTTAGAGTGAAGAGGAGTAAAATCGTGTTTTATTTAGCTAAATATTCAACATTTTTAAACTAACGTGAACTCCTGTTTCAGGTCGTCGTTTACCTGGCTGAGTGATCAGGTGAAGGATGGACGAGAACACCCCACTGTTCTTGGGCTCGCACTCCACAGATTTCATTATAGAGTCCATTTCCTCGACGATGACAGGTGAACCGCGCAAAAATATTAGGGAGTCCATGGCATCCCCGTAATGCTTCCTGCGCAGGAGGAAGTAGGGGGTTTCAGGGAACCAGATGAATATCAGAAATTGCAGCATCGATAGGGATATCGCCACGTATGAGTATTCTTCCATGCTGGTGAAGGAGCCCAGTACGTAACCAAGAAGACTGCCACAGTAATCCATTAATACGAAGCAGCTACCCAAAGCGCCGCGCACGTGGGGTGGAGATATCTCTGTCACGTACATGGAGCCTGCCGTGAAAATTATGCCGCTGGCAGTGCCGCCTATGACGCGTGCCAAATACAGGTTCTGGAAATAATCGAAATTCAAATGTCGACACGATTCTTGGCATTCCAGACTATAGGAAATATAAGTAATATAAATTGTCTGGTGCTTCACGTATGAATCTGCAATTTTTAATTATATCTTTTATTATTAATCTGAACTTGTTAATCTTGAATGTTTATACAAACTTTTGTTCATGATACATTTTTAAAACTTTTTGTACAGCTATATACTGAATACTAAATATAATATTGCAGTAGTTTAGACTCGATGCGGTATTTTGATTAATCTAGAATACTATTAACGAACAGAATTTATCTATAAACATTCGGAAAGACAATTTTATCCGTTGCGCAGACTTTTGACGTAAATGTGTAGGAAAAAAAACATCGCAAAGCAAACTGACAGTAGCGTCATTAAAATGATAAGATGCGGAAGTCGGAAGCTTGACTTAGACTTCTGTTTTCTAGCGTTTAAAACAACCGTCTGTTTGCTTTCCAACGTTCACGCGTTTACATTGCAGCGTTCTTTCCATTGGAAGTTTGCGTCGCGAACAAAAGCATCTAGTCGCTCTGAAAAAAGGTCAAGATGAATTTTACTCTGTATATAATTTGTAAGAAATTTCAAATGATCACAGTGTTGGTATTTTATTCTTCCCACCTGGTAGATTAATTATTTCCAGGTTCACCGATCGAGAGGCTTTAAATCGCAATTAAGCCTCTAGAAAATACAAAAAATAAAATATTCGAATAGATTGTAAGTACTCGTATACTTTCTATTACACCCTGAGCGATAACATGTCGTCTTCGTCTAAACCTCTAGAACTATTTTTAGATTATTTTTATAAATCGAACTCACCAGAATCGATCTGCCCCACACGATCAACAACCAACTCGAAACCGTGGGAATGATGGCGAGCAGTATCGCTATCTTTCTGCCGGCGAAGTCAACGATGAATATCGAAAGGAAGCAACCGAACGCCATTCCAAGCTTCAACAAGGATACCGTCCAGGATGCCTCGGCCTCGGTGATCCTGAAGCTCGAATCCTCTGCCAGCAATTTCGGTATCATGGGAGACGTCCAGCCCAGAAACATTCCCACGGTTAACTGGGCCAGGCTCACTATCTTCGCGCAACATTCGTCAATGTTATAACTAGACTGCAGATTTTACGCGTTTAACGCGAGAAACATATGCGGAACGTGTGGAAAATATTAACGAACAGCGACGTCGAGCCAACCATGTCGTTCGCGTTTATCGAGCGTGTGCCCAGCAAAGGTATTTAATTCTATAATTGAAAAAAAAAAGCAATTCCCTTTTTCTTTAGGAATACTACACAACGTCAGTGGGATCACGATGATAGACATAGCACAAGATTTATAATATAAAAAAATGTAAAAGAGATAAAAATACTCGCATCGAAAGCATAGATGAAATGATAAGAACCTTTCGTTAACTAAATATACTAAATATATTTCCTGAATTGACGTGACAGATTGACACCATATGTTTCTCGTATTCCCTTACGTCATAGATGGATCAAATTCGCAACCCAGCTGTATATAATCTACAAACTGTAATTATTATGGGGTCCTTTATCACTTTTCTTACCCACAAAAGTCACCATGAAGAGCCTCAGTTTCGACATGGTCTCGACTGCCACGCGATATCGCCAGAACGTTCCCGCAAGCTTCACCAGATCGGTGTATCACGGTGACACACAATTACGTCGATAAAAGTGTCCTATCGTTACACTCTCTTCGACGACACTGTAGAAGGTGAGCTACGTCAGGTTTTAATCGTCAAGCTTGAAAATGCTACCGCGTTTCGAGGTTCGAGCACGACTAACCGATTACATATACAGTTAGGGACAAAATTAAAGTGAAAACGGTCATTATTAGAGTGCAATTAAAATTAGTAGCATAAAAATGTTTAGTAGCACACTTAAATTTTTATTTATCATGTATTTTTTATTTGTTCAATGTCTTTATCGCGCGAAGAGGTATTATGAATGCGAGGCAAACATTCATTAAAGAAAATAACGAGGCATCTGTGCAAAGAGACGATCGTGCACGTGCTCTTTTCAAACCTTGTTCTAAATTGTTCAATCGATAATTGATATCAATATTTACGCATTCATGACCGTTGACGCAGCTCCACGTAATTTTTAAATCCGGAGGTGATTACTCCTGACGTGGAACCACGTCATTTAAAAATCTGTCGCTGACGTAATCGCACGTCATTTCATACTCGTATTCCAAAGTGGTACATGTGGTTACTAGCATTACCTTAGAAAGCAATTTCTTCGTTTTCCGTCCCTTTCCAATGCTGAAATCATTTAAATAAAATTGGAATTATAATAAAATTGAAAATTAAATTTAAATAAAATTTAAATAAAATTTAATTTCCAAATAACAACCATTTCCATTATGCCACTAGTTTGTCCGATTTTTCCCCCGACTGTACACAGATAGGCGAGTAATTACTCCTTGCGTGAATGCCATCGGATCGTCACGAGTATTTCAGAACATTTTTATGTGACGAATAATTATTTCAGTGGTCATTGTTGTGGCCCAGGGAATTTTATTGTTCCGATTCGTTATGATAGAATGATACATTCCCTTCCAATTATTTTTGGTAAAGGAGCGAAACCGAATATAAAAATTTTCTAGAATCACGAGAGGTCTGGCTACGTACAACGTACACGTGAAATATAAGTTAACCAATAACATGTACGAGTAATCATCTTTTACGTGCATGTACGATGAGCATATATATAACACCCGTCACATGCATCGTAGGATCCAATGTGTGTTTACTCACAGTTTACGCCGTAGGTAACGACATTGATTGTTTGGATGTTAATTAATACGAGCTACAAGCAACCATACGGTGTCTCACGTTGGACGTTATTTCAATTACGTTTAATTTGTTCGATGAAATTCCATAGAGTCTTGTCGAACAATGCGCCCTAATTATTTTCAGCCACTTCGTTCCCCACGTTAAGCTGTTCCAATACCCGTAGACAAGGTGCATAAACTAAAGTATATTACTTATTATTATTTACAATTTTTCAGTGTGGCGAAAACGGGATTTGTTCGTGTTTCAGTTCTGTTTCTATTTGAAACGAAATTTTACTTGTTCTCTTCCACTGTTCCTACCGTTGATTAATTAATAACACGAACAATAATTGTAGTCTCACTCGGGTCCATGCATTATGAATCAAACAATATAGAACATTTGACCAATGCAGCTCATTAGTATTTAATGATCGAATAATCGGTTTCAAAACATTGATTAACTTAAATGATTGGTCAGACCAGAGTGATTAAATATTGCAACCTCGATATCGATGAAAGATTAGCGCCTTCGATTCTCGAAATACATTCGTCAGTTGTAATCGGTATAAAAATCTACGAAAAGATCTATTAAGGATGAAAGCATCGGAAGGTATTAAAAAGTAGACAAAATGATCGTGTTTATATTTCAGACGAATATTCGTTTCCGAATTGCGTAATCGCACGCGTATCACGTACTCTCGGTCTGATCATCATCGGGAGATGATCACTGCCAGTAGTAATGGCTCGTATGTGATCAGCATCAGTAGTAACGAGCCACGTGGATCAGACAGTGGTTTACGCAATCTAAGCGTATCCGCTAATTTTGCAACGGTCTCGTAATTACTGTAATAAATGTAAATTGTTATCGTCACTCTATAATTCACGCGGGTCTAATTAAAAACTCCCTTGATCAAGAATTCACGTTCGTTTATTACCCATTACAGTTGCTTCGTTTCACGATGCAAATTTAATGTATGAAATAACAATGAATTGTACTTCTAAACTATAAACCTGCTTGATCACACTGTATATTTGTAATTTATCGAAACGTGTGTTTGTTCATCAATTATTATATTAATCATCATCTTCGTTTGTTGGTAATTATTATTTCCAAAACAATTTCATGTGATTGCATTTTAAGAACGAAATAACCATGAAAGAAATAATATATCATTTCATTGTATCTCAAGAGTAATATGTTATTCGGCATAGTACTCCAAAGGCGTTATTCAAACGCATCCATGAGTCTGACCTGCACCACTCATTCTACTCAAAGTAAATCTTCTCGTCGATTACAAAGTATTCTTATCGGAATTGTTTAATAGTTGGAGATTCTCTACAGGGCACAATTTCTTGAAGCAACTAAAGGGAATTTTGTTTTTAAGATTGAAAATCTTTTAATTTTCGAACAGCCGAAATTCATGTCACGTTATATAGTGAAAAACGCTGTGAGGCGATGAAATGGGTGAGTAGTAACAGAATAAATATGTCTCATTACACAGCTTGTCGTGAGATGTTTTTTTATATTTTAATATCTTGTGATTGGAACAATTAAAACTTAATCCGACATAATTAAACGTTTATGATACATACAGTATCATTCAGTGTTCAATTAAATATTAGTAACAATTACGGTTAGCAATAAATATTAAAGTGTGAAGTGTAAAGTGAGAATAGATTTAGATTAGCAGGAATATAATTAGTTTTCAGAAAAATTCATTTGTATAAATGATGTATTAACATTCATATATTTTTATTGGAAAATGTTCGTCAAATTTCACAACAATTTCTATATTTAAACTACAGACCAAACTACGAAATACGTATTTTCTGAAATGTTGTTTTCTTGCATTATATAAAATTATCCTATTTGTAATGTACTTGCATTCTGGAATGGAATCATTAAACCCGTATAATCTAAGAACTGCAAAAATTGTATATCGTTTCTAATAAAATAAAGATGTGTATTACAAGTGTTGATATTCAATTCTTTAGTAATATATTCCGAGAATGTGTGCACATTTTGAACTGTCGAAAATTCGGGATCGATATGCATGTTTCGACATTTTTTCAGATCAAGATCGAGATCGTAAAAATCACGTCTCGTCCTTCAAACACCCCCTAACACCTCCCACCTCCACCCCATTATCTCTTAACAACTCCTAAGGGCTCCAGACAGTTCCCTTTATTTCTCTTCAATTTCAAGAATGTTTCCTATTAATTTCCCTCCTTACCCTGACACATCTTTCCGCTGTTCATGAGATCCGGATACAATAGGTAAGTTTCGAGATAGAATTTTTATTCTTGTATCAGGCGAACATGATATGCGAGGAAGTGGCACGAGGAATACTAGGTACGTACCGAAATTCTCAGGAAATTTTATATTTTGGTATCAGGAGCACATGATGTGCGAGGAGGTGGCACGTTTGCGCCTACGGACAGGCAGCCGGTCCGACAGATCTATCAGTACAGGTTGCCTAATTCGAGGGGCTAATTTTCGGTACATTTCGGAATTCTGGCTGATTTTGGATTTTGGTATCAGGACCACATGATGTGCGAGGAGGTTGCACGTTTGCGCCTACGAACAGGCAGCCGGTCCGACAGATCTGTCAGTACAGGTTGCCTAATTCAAGGGGCCAATTTTCGGTACATTTCGGAATTCTGGCTGATTTTGGATTTTGGTATCAGGAACACATGATGCGCGAGGAGGTGGCATGTTTGCGCCTACGGACAGGCAGCCGGTCCGACAGATCTGTCAGTACAGGTTGCCTAATTCGAGGGGCTTATTTTCAGTACATTTCGGAATTCTGGCTGATTTTGGATTTTAGTATCAGGAGCACATGATGTGCGAGGAGGTGGCACGTTTGCGCCTACGGACAGGCAGCCGGTCTGACAGATCTGTCAGTACAGGTTGCCTAATTCGAGGGGCTTATTTTCGGTACGTTTTTTCATGTGCTCCTGTGCGAAAAGGTGGCACAAGAAATACATACGAGAAACCAGTCTACACCAATTTTCGACCGTGTAACTGGTTCTGCACCTCCTGGAGCGTTTTCCCTTTCGTCTCGGGCACGTAAAAGTACGTGAAAAAGACGCCCGCGAGGCTGATAGCGGAAAATATCCAAAACGAGGTGTACAGGCCGAACTGGTCGGCGATTCTTGGATAAGACGCGGTAACACAGAAAGAGGTGAAATTGCAAAAGAACATCGCGATCGTGCTGCCGAGGGCTTTCACGTTCGTAGGAAAAACTTCGCTTATCATAGTGAACGGGACAGCGGCCAACCCCAAAGTGTACGATACGATGTAAAGTATCGTTCCAATCGATGGTAGCAAGAGGATATTGTCCACGTCAAATTGTCTGTCTTGGAGATAAAAGAACAAACCGACGAGCGTCGTCGAAACGAACGTCCCGAACGCAGAGACAATCAGCAACAACCTTCTGCCGAATCTGTCCACCAAACACATGCCGATTATGGTACTCACAACTTGCACGGCGCCCAATATCATAGTTATATATTTGCCATTGTTCTCCTTAGTCGTGTCGAGGATTTGTTGAGCGTAAGACATTATAGCCATGCTGCCGCTCCACTGTTGAACTACGACCAGGGTCACCACCACTATTATCGCTCTGCGAAGAAAAACATTTTCTTGTTTTTAATTATTGAGACTTTTACGTGACGACGTTTAAAAAAAAATTTTAATGATATGAGTATCTTCATGATTTTCTAGAGTACCTCTCCTGAGATATAAGGAAAAATAACGGCTAGCATACATATACAATTTTCATTTAGAATTTTATAACTGATTCGTTTGCAATATTCGACCCAAGACCTCTAAACCTTAAAGACTCTCCATTGTGCTCAAGAGCAACAATAAATAAAACACCAATGAAGCAAGTAAGGAAAATCGAACTCTCCCTGTATTCAAGAACCATAACTACAACAACACCCCGTAATTGGTTTCCAGTATGGTAAACTATGGCTTGAAAATTCACTCGAAGCTCTATTGAAACGCACTTGCGATTTCCTGACACGCAGAGTAGCTCCCGTAATCCGGTGTCGTTGGCCAAATCCAATTCCACGGATTTCTCGATCGCCGTCGCCTCTTCGGAGACGTTCGTGGTCCCTCTCAATTGCGCCAGAGTATGGATCGCTTCCTGATGTCTCCCACGGCGCATCAGGTGATAGGGAGACTCTGGTATCCACAGGGTGCAAACAACAAACAAAATTGACAGGGACAAGGATGTCATGGCTAGCTCCATCACGGTAAGAAAGGGACCTATAGTCCATTCGAAGGATACTCCAATCTTCCCGAACACGGTTAACGCCGCCGTCAGTACTCCTCGTATGCTGGCTGGCGAAATTTCACCTGTATACATCATACAGACCACGTATCCGCAGCTGCTGCTTAATCCATGGAAGAACCTCGCTATGTATAACTCCTAAACGATAGAAACGGGTGTGACTATCTTGAAGTATCTTTTATCCTGCAAAATTAGTTTATCTTTTTAAATTAGGAATAGGTACTGGGATGCTTTGAATAATATCTTTTAGTTCGCACGCCTAGCTGTGCACAGTGAATCCTGTGTAAGAGCCGCGGGCTCCAAGCTCAAGGCTCCACACGTGTATCCAACTACTTATCTATTATCTGTTCATCTATCTAACTATGTATACCTATGAACTAATATCTATACATTCACTTATTTATCTATCAATTCAAAATCAGCATCATAGGTCTAGTTGTTTGCAACTTTAGTCTCATCGTTCTATCTAAACAACCTACTACCTAATCACTTCCTTTACTTCTACGCGATTAATAGTTCATGCCTAGCCTCCGTCAACTATTACTTTCCTGTAAAAAAATACATCTTTCCACGAATCTGCGTACGTTTCGATTACTGCCAGAAGCATTGAGAAAGAAATCACAGACAATTAAGTAGCTCACGCTAAACGTTGCGTTAAGCACGTAACTTGAGCACCTCTGCGAAGACTTTATCGTCGCAGTCGCCCGCGGCTTAAAGTATCAGCCGTATCGCGGCAGAAGTCATAAAGAGTTAAAGCAGTTATTATCATTATCATTGGAAATCTCAATTTTTATCAACGCTTCTGGTTGCATCGTCGCGTAAGCGTAAACAGAAACAGAAGCAGATTAATTACCCAGGCTGACGTCGCGAAAGCGATCATCAACCATCCCACTATCCCTGGGACCCCGGTAAGAAGCAGCGACCACTTCCTGCCGATCACGTTCACTATGTGAACGAAGAGCAATGGGCCCACGGATCCGCCGAGAGTCTGGATAGCCGCCACCCACGCGGATTCCTGTCTCGTCAACGGCACGGGGCTGTCTTCTTGCAACAAGAGAGGCAGCGATGGCGACGACCAACCGAAGAAAAGACCGTACGACATCATGCCCAAATTACCTGCCGATCAAACACTTATGGTGCACCGTGGCTGTCGAAAGACACTTTCCTGCGAAGATGGTTTCCGGTTGCAATGGCGAAGAGAATGCCTCTGACAGGGGAACCCTTAATCGAAAACCACCTGTTTGCAATGTATCCTTCGCTGTCAAAGACATTCTTCTCGGTGCATCGTACATCTTGATGACTGTTAAGAAGACTATTCTAAGCCAACATTTTCGAAATATCGGATTTTGTTGCATTTTCTTTCTTAGCTCGAGGTGTCGAAAATGTGCTCATAAAAGATACGATCGACAGAGAGTCGGACGAATTAATTCTCGTCGCGGTTGTCCAAATAGTATCTTTGAAACTATTATGTTGTTTTGTATAAAAATATTTCTGTAACTTTGGTTTTATATAATATTTAAAATGCCTTAACTTTTCTATACCCAGATTCTAGAACTCTTCCGAATTTTAATACCATCGAGATTTTTACTAATCGCAGTGAGGAAGAACAGGGACTGTCTTTCCAGAGCATCTATACGCGACATAGTAACTTAATTATGCATACTACTAAAAATACAGAAAAAAACACTTCCTTGTGTCTCCAAAAACAACAAAAACATTTTCAGCGATAAATGTAAACGAGTCGCGATAATAACATACTCGAGTCCACTTACCGGCAATGATAGCTAAATAAATTGTCTTCATTGTTTCTATAAATGGCTTGCGAAGTACGTAAACGATCCAACTCGAACGAAGTATCCACAGAACGTTGAAAACTAAATAGTATCGATAGATGTTTCCAAGCAGATCTAAGCTAGGTCTATCTATTCAGTCACTTAATGAGTTTATCTGTATCACGTGTAATTATGACGTATAGATCCAAGATAAATACATACCGTTGTGGTTCTGCCACTAGAGCCATTATAATTAAAGTTCTGGTTTGAAATAGAAAATAGAAGAGTATCGATCACCTTTTACTTATATTTTATATATGATACATTTCACTCACGAAGACAAGTGTTAAAAGATAGACAGGATGATAACGAAACGTGCACGCCGACAGAGAACGCACGAGTATCAATTATCAGTTGTATTACTTAGCTATATATATATATTTTTTTAATAAGTCTTTCACATTCGATCTACATTATGGTATGGTTAAAGTAACATAAATGGAACACGAGTAAAGAACAGCAGCACCACGCTAATAAATAATTTCATTAATGATAACAGTACGATTGTGCAATCAAATATTAGTTGAACATTCAGTTTTTCACTCTACGAGTTAGCGTAATACTCATACTCTCTTTTTGTGGTACGTTACAACGGTAAATGTTAAACAAACAATAAATAAATGGTATTACGTCTATTAGGAAAGAGTTGCTTCGAATAATTTATTCACGTACCATCTGAGGGCATTTACAAATATATAAGACCTAACGAATACTATATAATACAGTTTTTCGATTATAAATTAAGGTGAATAATGTACTTCTTTTTTGTTTCGTTGAATACTGTACTATAAAATTAATATTATCAATTTGACAGTATAAATTTATCACAGATTCGTAATGCTCGGAGTGTATTAATGTAACAATGATTAAAATACACCTATTTACAACAATAGTAACTATCGGTCTTATATTCTTCCCATTTTCTGCTAAAATACTTACGACGTGTAACACAAATCTGTAAATATTGGCCAATTTTAGAACATTGATCTTAAAAAAAAAAAATGCCATTTGTCGAGAGAGTTATGAATTTATATACACCGCGTTTATGAACCAACGTTTGAATAAAGTGTAAATAAACATTACGAAACTGAAATAAGCTTCGATACAAATATCGTTTAATAAATAATTCATGTATTTTCTCACACGACAAAAGGCATTCATATTTGAATGGATATCAAATTATAGTGTGCGAGAACATGACAAATGTATGGTTATCAAATTGATAGTATTTCTCACATCATGTAAATACTGTTTTTTGTACGTACATCTCTACGTAAAACCACAGCCAATTATAATATTACGTTTCTTACAAAGTACTGAGTTTGTATTCTGTCTCCATTAAAATTTCATAATACACTTTCCAATAATGACAGCGTAAGTTTTTACAAATTCTACAAAATTACGTATTCCTGATTTTTTAAAGAACAACCTATTTGAACAAAAATATTTTAAAAATTCCTTTTTTGCAATGTGGTACACAAACTATCGAGACATGAAGTATAAATTTGCGTATAAATCTGTTATTCACGGGAAAATATTGTTACGATAAGATACATCGGGAAATAAAATGGCGCTACGGTAAATATGTATTAATTTTCATAAAATAGTATCTTTAAGTATGTTAAACAGTTATATCGATTGATGCAATAGCACCTAATCTTTCTTTCTATGATGAGGAAAATGTATTACAAATTCATCTGGAACCTTGAGTAACTTTGTAAAAGAATATACCATTTAAATATTCAAATAACCTAATACAGGAAACGACTTGCAGGCATATTAACTGCACCTCGACAGCTACTCGGTGGAGGATTTTCATCATCGGAATTTTCATTCTTTCGTAACAATATTGAACTGTGCCGACTACGCTGAGACTTTTCTGCTTGATGTCTTAATTCCTCGATATAGGCTGTGGTATCATTCGCCACTAGTTCCTGCAAATGTTTACTCAACGTCGACAACTCCGGTTTCTCTTCGTCGTAAATTCCTTCGAATGGTACACATTTCTCGTAAAATAATATAAATGGCGTATCTGGTGGTTTCAGGTCCTTAAAATCATTAAATGTTGTTTGCGAGACGTAACTGTCGTTGAATTTGTACCAATTTTGTTTCGAGTCGCGAGCATAAGTAAAATAATGACCGTAATCCATACTATAACCGGAGTGTACAACAGCAGCGTATAGTTGATACGTTTCGGTAGTTGTGCACAAAGGCGTTGATACTGGTAACTGTATAGTTTCGTTATACATTACTTTGTGCCGTAGTTTTGTTCTTAGTCTGGTATCAAAATCGTAACGGAAATGTTTCAGAATCAAAATTAAATACGTTGGTGCATGTAGAATTTTTATAAACCTTTGTGCATCGCAAAGTTTCATACATTTATCGCATCGATATTTGTTCTCGCCGGTCAGTTTTTCTGGTGTAAGATAATAATTTATTAAATCTTGCACAGAAACTTCCTGATTTTCCTGTATCTCTTCTGGGAAACACAATTGCAAGTCACGAAATTTGTCAGTATTATGAGAACTAGTATCACACTGAGCACATTGGTGAGTAATTTTACATTTTCCACCTAAAACTCTATGTACAAGTGGTACTTGTGTACTTGTATCTTCCCCACCTACAGACTGTATTCCACTGTCTGTAGAGTCTGAATGTGAATCGCTAAGTTGCTGGATTTGTGCTAAATCTTCTCCTATAAAAATGAATTTCACGTAATATTTACACAGAAACTATTAAAAAGAAACATATATATACATATTAGAAACAAAGATACTACCTTGTGTAAAATCTGCTAATGATTGTGTTTTTCTTTCCAAAGCTATACTTCCAGTTAAGTCTTCTTCCGTTGTCCAACGTTTAATACTGCCACCTTCTTCATTTATCGTAGAAACATCATTTATTTCCTTATCATCTTTATGCTTCAAATTAGAATCATTAGCTTCACAGTTTACAGTAATAGACTTTTCTTGCTCATGTAAGAGGTCTAACAAATGACTGTTAAAATAAATAAATCATTTAATATATATATATATTTTTTTTTTGGCCTAACAGAAACAAATATTAAAATACTAATAACATATTAACCAGAGAAATTCTGAACTGTCCTGTTGCTGACCAGGTAAAAAATAAGAAGGGCGAGAAGCTAATAAAATTTCAGTTGGTGCCAATGAAATTCTCTTTGAATATAATAAAAGAGTAAATAGATTTTGTAATTTTCTAAGTACAACTTGATCATCAGCTTTGTTTGAAGGTTTGTACATCAATACTTCGTAACAGAACTGTCTAGTCATTAACAGTGCTTGTAATACACTATTCATATAACATGTGTTTCCAAGGTTTGAAAGTCCAACTTTCCCATTGTGTAGTTTAGGTGATTCAATTATTGGCTCGATTGTTTCTGTTTCATCCACCCAAACCTGTTCATTCCATATTTCTTGAACAATGTGCATTCGAGGTTGCACTGGGAAACTACTTTCTAAATTACTATATACACATTGGCTTGGAAATCTTAACATAAGTATTTTCATAATATCAACTAAATTCTGTATACATTCTTTACTTGACTCAGAATCTTCTTTTATTAAGTAAGTCAATGCCATTTGCGTATTTCGCACTATAGTTCGAAACAAAAATGGAGATCCTTGCCTTTTTAATACATGAAATATAACCATGGAAGCATTCTGACGAATCACTGGTACCAACAAAGCATGAAACATTACATCAAGCGTTGCTTTTGCAACCTCTATAAGTATAGAATATTTATGTTGCTTTTCTAAGCCAAATATAAATTCCATAATCCAAATGCTAAGTCGATCGCCTCTCCATTTTGGAAGCCAATTACACAGAACCCTTAAAGCTTGGGTTAACTGAGATTCGCAATGCGATTCAGAAAGAATCCAGTTTACAGCTTGTGGTATAATAGATGCTTCTACTAGTTGTAATATAGCTGCTAAACCAGGTCCTGGATCTTGTTTACGTTTTGTATCTGATATAATTCTATATAATGTTTGGAGACATATAAAAATTAAATTATCATTTTCAATGTTGTCAGACTTTATTCGTACAACTTTCAAAAAGTTTTGAACTTTAGTTGCGTTGTCTGTGAATTCTGAAATCTTTTTTGGATCAGGTGACATTGAGAATGTAGACAGACTGGTAATAACTGCTTCGCAAAGCTTTGAATGATTCACAGACTCTGGTAAATATACACTGTGTTCCAGTAAAGTTTGAAGAATCATTGTTAAATCAGACATATCATTGATTTCAGTGTTCCGTAGCATAGCAGCAACATCATTTGAAATTGGATTGATACAAAATGGTTTTTCTGTTAAATACTTTGAGAACCAAATCATGATACTTGGAATTTCTTGTACATTTAATATTTCATCATTTAGTATTTCTCTCAGAATAGATTCGTAATTTAATTGCCTGGGGAAAGGCTCGCTTTCTAGTTTTTTAAGTTTGGTCCATCCTTCAGTAACCTCTGCATCTTTGCCAATCACTATTAAATTTAAACATTGTTTTATATCACTCTTAAGAATTTGTTCGGCATCCATTGTTTATCAATTATTACTTTTACAACACTTTAAACTAATTTCTTTACGACTTTCAATTAGACCTATTATTCAACCTCAACCCAGAATGACTTTCACGAAAATCTAAATGATTTCACGTCCGAGCGAAATAAAAAAAACATATGTCAACTTCATAATAGGAAAAGTAACTATACTTGTTACTCTTCATGTTTCACTAAATATTTTAGCTGCTGAACATGTTTAGTAAGAAACGCCATAGTAATATAGAGGAAAATTAAATATGTACACTGATTAACATTTATATACCTGTTCACTTAAGTGTTCTATGAAAATGACAAATCAATTTCTAATTAGAAACAACATAATAGGTATCTTTAGCTATTATTCACTGATATTAATTAAATGAGGCGTAGTGGCGCCATCGGTGGGAAAACGCCCAAGTTTGTAGTGAAAATAGTTTCCATTGCTCCTGTTAGATGGCATAAATAACTAAAGACTCAATAATTATTGCTGCATTAAGTAATTATTCATTCAAACGATAAATTTGACATATTTACTAATATATTATAGTATTATAAAACAGAGAACCGTATTAATTATGCATTTATGCATTTATTATCAAAGGTATCGCTAGCTCCATCTTATAAAAATAGTAGGAACTGTTTTCTTTACAAACTTAGGCGTTTTCTCACCGATGGCGCCACTAACCAAAGGGCCGATAACTATTTTTATATTAATTATTTACTACAAATTTGAGCGTTTCGCCGTAGATGGCGCTATTAACATGCTTGCGGGTAAATTGTGTGTAAACCCCCATATACGATTGTATACGATTTTCTTACTTAGATACTCTACTGTTATTCTACTTTAGACTTTTATAATAACAATAATAAAAATACACGTTAAAATTGTAATATTTGATTTACACTCATTCGTTTAACGACATAATGACGGTCATTCGACGGTACTTTACATATCTAGTAACTTCAGCAATCGATCTTCGCTAGGATTATTTCTACTTCAAAATTCTCAGATGCTAACCAAAGAAGAAATGTTCGTATGAGAGAACTTAAAATATGGTAATCTAACACGATTGTAATATATCGGTGAATTTCTTCTGTGCTTCTGGGAAAATTGAAGTTCGTCGGTTATTGGAAAGTGCAACGAACCAGCCGAATGAAAGTGTCGCATCTTGGTTGCGAAAAATTCAGTCCCGTTCCAAATTCCGATTGTATACATGTCATTGGAAAAGGAATCGAAACTGAAACAGCATGTCTGAAGTTGTTGGCCAACATGAAATTAATCAAAGCTACTGTTTCAAATGGAATGATTATGAAAATCATTTATCCGATGTAGTTAAACAACTCCTGGAGGAAGATTGTATGGTTGATGTTGTACTGGCTGCTGCTGGAGAACGCATTCATGCTCATCGTATAGTTCTCTGCGCTTGTAGCACTTTGTTTCGAGTAAAGAACTTTCATATTTTTAAGAGCAGACTTAAAATGCCTTCAACTTGAATAAATTTTGTTAAGATTACCTTTATATCCTCACGATCAATATAATAATTATAATTTGGACTGTGTAAAGATTTCAACTATTTATCTTTTATGTAAATCCAAAAATTTAATGTCACATGATCATATTGTTGATATTAATCTTACATGGTTATTAATAATTCGATTTTCTTTAAAAATGTAGTTTGCGTTTCATGGCGTAGGTTAGTTCTGCACATTTTCAGGTATGACTTATGTAACAATCAAATCTTTTATTTGTAGGATGTTCTGAGTCAAGTGAATGATTATCATCCGACAATAATATTGAGCGATATATCTGCACAGGATATAAAATGTATTATAGAATTTATTTATCATGGGGAAGTACGAGTTCCAGTAGAGAACATTAGCAGTTTATTGGATGCTGCTCGTTCCTTAAAAATATGTGGTCTCATCGAGGTTGTTCTTTTTGTTCAATCTAAGCAAAAATACTGATTTTTCATTTGTAATATTGTTTGTTTGTAGATTGATGGGCTTGATGAGAATGATTCAGTTACGAGTCCGAAAGATTTTAATGATAATAACGAAGAATCAATGACTGTAATCAATGAAACAGAAGAAAATGTTATTAACTCACTGCAACACAGTTACGAAGATTTGGAAGATGAACAGGAGCAAAAGTTAACTGAAAATTCTACTTTAAGTAAAAGAAAAAAACGCAGACGCGATACAACAAAGAGAGATTATAGCGACGATATGTTAGCATCAGCAATTGAAGACTTGAAAACAGGTCAAACGTTAATAGAAGCTTCGACTAAACATAATATACCGCGTTCCACACTATACATGCGTGCTAAAGCATTAGGGATACATTTAAATGCATCGAGGAACGAGTATCCAGCTGAATGTATGAAGGCTGCCATAAATGCTGTAATTGGTTGGTATGCACCTTAAATTACAAAATGTTAACTCCTTTGCGTTATTCAGTTTATTTCATTGTTATTATAGGTGGGTCAAGTTTGCAACATGCATCAGAAATGTTTAGTATACCGAAGACTGTATTATGGAGAAGAATTCAAAAAGAAGGCTATCAAATATTACGCTCTGAAATGAAGAGATCCTATGGTTCTGATAAACGAGAAGCTGCAGTCAAAGCTTTAGAGAGGGGAGAGAATTTGACGAAAGTAGCGCTTGAATTTAAGGTGACAAGAATGAGAAGCATGGAGCAGTAATTTTTTACATCATTTGAACTTTCTGTGAAAAATATCAATTATTGAATTTTCAGATTCCAAAGACCACTTTGTTCAGGGATAAAGCTCGGCTGGTAGATGAAGGAAAACTGCCATTATCATTTTGGAAAAAAAGGAAAACCGAAAACGAAGAATTAAAGAAGTCTCGGTTAGAAGAGGCTGTTGCCGCTTGTAAAGGAGGAAAAATGTCACAAGCAGCGGCATCGATGACTTATCATATTCCTAAAACAACAATATGGAGACGCCTTCAACAAGACGGCAAAAAATCCGAACGTTTGCCAAACTCGAGAAAGCAACGAACGGATGCCAAACATAGCATAGACGTGAAGACACAAGAAGGATCGGATTTCACATATTGCGAGGTATTGCATGATTTCAGTATTTGTTATCGTTCCTCGTGTAGCATAACATTGGCACTTTCCATTTCTAATAAATTTTATTTGTAGGTTTCATCAGAAATTCCTATAACTTATATAGATGAAAATAGTATACCTGAAGATTCTGTGATAATATTAACAGCAGAAGACATGGATGGATTGAATTTAGAAGAAGGACGACAAATAATTGTTAACTCGGTATGAATTTTTAATTACTTAGCTTTAAATTTACATGAATATTTGTAAACGAATTATTTTTTTTAGGAATCAGTGCAAGAATACGTTCCTTGTACAATAAGTATCGAAGAAAATTCGAATTATTCGCAAACCGAAAGTTAACACATTAATCGTAATTGTACATATACAAGTTATTAATGTTCTTTTTGTACATACAAATAACACACATATATTAAATTAGAATTTCTTTAGTAATACATTAATAATGGATATTTAATTATTATTATTCATACACGTTCTACAGATAAGTCTGATTGTTGTAATTTTGCACAAAAAAATTGTATATTAATGCGTATAGTTACAATTTGTACTCCGATCATGTTTTGTATGTTAACGATTATTAAAATACATAAAATTATTTAATTTGTTGCGATACGATTAAATTAAGTGTCATAATAACAAGCATGTATATCAATAAAAATAATTTTTCTCGGAAATTCAAAAATATCTTCTTCGATAGGTGGTTCTATTTTTAGCGACATTACAAATTTGCACGTGGATTGCTTTGATCATATAGTCAAAGGTGGATTGTATGCGCACTCAGATTCGGTATCTGAAAAGCGTTGACGTTCGATTCTATGAGAGTACTCTATGGTGTATTTATAGTTATATATATACAACCATGAACAAGAAGGGGTAGCAAAGTATAGTCGAGTATAGTGACTTTCCCTTCACGCGACACGGTTGTGTAAGTGCAGTGTATCTAACTTGGGTTGGAAATGGGAAGTGGGAAGTAGGAGTAAGGTTGGGGATATTTATTGAAATGGTGTCTTGTGGCCGGTAATGTTTTACTGTGGCGGTATTAGGGATAGAAATTACGAAATTTCATCATATTACGCGATAACCGATAAACACGAAAAATATGGCCCATCAGTTGTTATTCTCGGCTGCGAAATTCGAAAAATTCATGTTGAAATCCGTGTACAAAAATGCTGACACAATGCAGGTACAAATGTAACCTATCACATAACCTCCGTAATCTATTATGATACAACAAATATTTCTAATGTTAATCATGATTTCAAGTTTTAAAATAATTGCTTATTCATATAATTGTATCGTGATATTTTGTTGTAATTGTCATTTATTTTACATTCGTTGAATACGTTTTTACACCTGTAGTACAATTCGCTGTAAATATACGTACATGTACATACATGCGTACAAAAATGCGTTAGAATGATTACTTTATGGTAGTAAATTACTTTCTATAGTACTGTGCTGTTACACGTGGTTAATAGTACTTTATGTTAAAAATGTTAATTGCAATAAAAAGGTCAATTTGATTAAAAATTCAGTCGAAGTGGTTATTAGTGTGATTATTTCCTTACACTAAATTGTCTCTTATGGTTTATGTATAGTATTATAATTGTAAAATCTATTTTAGTTACGAAGATATTTGTCATTGTTTAAAAATGACACAGAAGCAACTATGTTTGAACACTTACAACGGCAGTGGAAGTTATTGTGTAATGAAGCACCGAAAGGATTTGAAAAGTTTTTTAAAGGTTGTTACTTCATATTTATATCCACTCTCTTCATATAGAGTGTTTAGCAAATTATGCTTCACAAAACATCCTATATAATATTGATAGGTTAAATAATAATTTCTGTTTGATTATAGGAAATGGAAAAGGCACCTCTAAAACTGCAGACAAAGTCGAGGAAAAAGTTAAAAAAGGTTCAGACAAAGAGGCTGCTAAACCATCGAGTAGCACATCTTCCCAGTCTACATCTAGCAATAAATCCGGTTTCCAGTGGAATTTTCAGTTTAATGTGACTGGACCGGGTGGAAAGAAACCTTTTGAAGATTCACCAAATGAGAAAACAATGCTGATGTTTGGTGTATTATTTGCAGCAGCTCTAGGTTTATGTTTAAATGCGGTATTCAATTCTGCAGAAGAGATCACATGGAGAGATTTTATATCAAAGTAATAGATTATTTTTCATTGTGCTAACTGATGTATCTGATTTCATTAAATTTCATAGAATAATCCTTGCCAATTGTTCACAGGTGTTTAAATAAAGGAATTGTGGACAAATTAGAAGTTGTTAATAAACAATGGGTTCGTGTAAAATTGTTACCTGGAAATTTGGTGAATGGATCTGTGAGTATAGAATGTAAATCAAACTATGATATATGTATAAAATATATTATAATTTGTTTAATGCATTTCATAGGATACTTTATGGTTTAACATTGGAAGTACTGAAACGTTTGAAAGGAATTTAGAAAATGCACAAATTGAATTAAATATAGAACCACAAAATTATGTGATAGTAGTTTACAAAGATGAGGTAGAGATGCAACATGTTTTGAAAGTTTTGCCACAATTACTCATGTGGGGTGAGTTACCAAACTTATCGTTACGTTATATATACAAATTGTTGCCGGTTGTAATAGTAATTTCTATTTATAGGATTTCTCATATTCATACTCCGAAAATCGCTGCAAAGCTTTTCTGCGGGAGGCAAAAGAGGTCGAGGACTTTTTGGCGGAGTAATGGAATCGACTGCAAAATTAATTAATTCCAAAGATATTGGTGTTCGATTTAAGTAAGTCAAGAAACCTACGAAACTCCATTTAGGATCTTATGTTTGAGTAATAATTTTATTTATTGTTTCCTTTTTGCATTATAAAATTACTACACATTTCTATATACCATTTAACAATTTAGAGACGTCGCTGGGTGTGAGGAAGCGAAAATTGAAATTATGGAATTTGTAAATTTTTTGAAAAATCCTCAACAGTACATTGACCTTGGTGCCAAGATTCCCAAGGGCGCAATGTTAACAGGTAAACACACATTTTGGCAAGTAAAGTTAATTTAATAAATCGGGTACATAATAAATCATATTCTCACAGGTCCACCGGGTACTGGAAAAACATTATTAGCAAAGGCTACAGCCGGAGAGGCGAATGTTCCTTTTATCACTGTGTCAGGTTCTGAATTTTTGGAAATGTTTGTCGGTGTTGGTCCCTCGAGGGTTCGAGATATGTTTACAATGGCGCGAAAGCACGCTCCGTGTATATTGTTTATCGATGAAATCGATGCAGTAGGAAGAAAAAGAGGAGGTCGTAATTTTGGTGGTCATTCTGAACAAGAGAATACGCTTAATCAACTTTTAGTTGAAATGGATGGTACACGATAAAATCAAAAATATTAAACATTTTAATGTCAAAATATACGTTTAACCGATTGATGTTTATTTAGGATTTAATACAACAACCAATGTAGTCGTATTAGCGGCAACTAACAGGGTAGACATATTAGACAAAGCACTATTACGACCTGGAAGATTCGATAGACAAATTTTCGTCCCTGCTCCAGACATTAAAGGACGAGCATCTATTTTCAAGGTGCATTTAGCACCGTTGCGGACTACGTTAGATAAAGACCAGCTGGCAAGAAAAATGGCTTCGTTAACGCCTGGTTTTACAGGTATGAAAATTAAATTAATCGATGAAACTTGGAACAATATTGATTGTCAAAATATCATACATAGTTCTTTCTAGGAGCTGATATCGCTAATGTATGCAATGAAGCAGCTTTAATAGCAGCAAGAGATATGAACGATAATATTCAACTGAAACATTTTGAACAAGCTATTGAAAGAGTAGTTGCTGGTATGGAAAAGAAGACAAATGTTTTACAACCTGAAGAGAAAAAAACAGTTGCGTACCACGAGGCTGGTCACGCGGTAGCAGGTTGGTTTTTAGAACACGCGGATCCACTTTTGAAGGTACGTGTGTATTCCATGTAATTCATTATTGAAATGCCTTTAATTAATTTTTTATAAAAATTAAGTCGCTAAGCTTTATTCCTATGTCTTCATTTTTTATGTAACAGGTATCTATAATTCCTCGTGGGAAAGGATTGGGTTATGCTCAGTATTTACCACGTGAACAGTATCTTTACACAAAGGAACAGTTGTTTGATAGAATGTGTATGACACTCGGTGGACGAGTATCCGAAGAAATATTTTTCGGGCGCATTACGACGGGAGCGAGAGATGACTTGGAAAAGGTAATACTTCTGCACCTACGAGTTATTAATTGAATCGTTGAATTTATATCTCGTTCGTTTGTTAAAATGTCAAAATATTTTTTTTATCAGATCACGCAAAGTGCATACGCGCAAGTCATACAGTACGGTATGAACGAAAAAGTTGGCAACGTTAGCTTCCAAATGCCTCAGCCAGGAGAGATGGCTTTTGACAAACCTTATTCCGAACATACTGCACAACTGATCGACAGTGAAGTACGTGCATTAATTGAAAGAGCCCATGCACATACGCATACTTTACTTACACAGCATAAGGAAAACGTAACTAAGGTATAATCTTTAATTATTAATACAAACATTTAATAAAAAAAAACGATTCTATGAAGAACGGAAGTGAAATAACTTTTCGCTGTTAATTTACTTAGGTTGCCGAACGATTATTAAAACAAGAGATTTTAAGTAGAGAAGACATGATAGAATTACTTGGCCCCAGACCTTTCCGTGAAAAGTCAACTTACGAAGAATTTGTCGAGGGTACCGGATCATTCGAAGAGGACACCACGTTACCGGAAGGATTGAAGGAATGGAACAAATCGAAAGACACTAAAGACAAGGAAGGACAAGTTTCACCATCAACGGATGCGGCTTCAGCTAGTGGCCCTAAAGACCAGCCGCAACACCGATTATAATTATACAGTTTAGATTATAGTCTGCTAAGTACCTTGTATTATAGTTTGAAATATATAACTGGTATAAGTAACAATACACGAGTGTGCATTCGGTTGCATCGATTGCATATACCATATTCATATATTTTGTAATTCATGAAGGCTGCCAAGTTCATAATCTTGCAAAGTATTCTTCACGTGATACAGTGACTCATTTGTCAGTGTATGCGCTATTTACACATTAGCGGCAATCTTTCGTAGCGATTATTAAGGTGACTGAGGAAATATGCAGTTACACGCGTTTTTTAAATTTACCGTGATATTGCATTTATACACGTAACATGGTATTGTACGATGTAAGACGTGATGTCAAAACCAAGAAAAAGCATGTAACTTTTATTATTTACGTAACTGTACGGAACGCAATTACTCCTGTTCTTTTTTGTAAGAATTAAATCAGCAGAAGGGCATGGACTGATGAAAGAAGTAACAGTGACGGTTTATGTAATTTTTTGCAACGTATAATTAATAAAGTTTACAAATGTAGTGCAATTAAACTGTCCTTTTCTTAAGTATTGTAAGTACATTGATAATTTGTTACGTTACTGCTTCCGTTGCTAATTGTTGGGTTTCGCTTTGGCGGGATTCCTGGTGCACTCCATGAAAACATACCGCGTGTATTTGTGTGTATGTGTACGCGCGCGCGCGTATGTGTGTGTGTGTGTATAAATCGAATTCTTGCTATTATATTACATTCTCCAAAGAAAAATAAAAGAACGATATACGATACTATTTGCGTTCCTTATGTACGAAGGTCCACGCGTAGTTTTTATGACAAGATTAAAAAAGATTTAATACGACGAAGGTCTTCTCGACAGGGTTCATGGCTCTAGGAACAAATTTTCGTCCCGGCATAGCGTCTTGGATACAATCAACTGGTTTGTAAATAATTAGTCATTATGGATTTTTCTAAATTTAATTATTTTCACTTCGAATCGCGATATTCTAATAATGAATACTATGCAATGTGACTCGTTTCGTTTGTATAAATAACGAAATAATGATCGCTCACAAAAGGAATTCTAGACAAATAGTTTTCCGGGAAGAAAACCTCTAAAAAATTTGTTCAAAAGAGAACAAGATACGTCCATGAATATGGAAAATGTAGACCTTCGCCCGCTCTCTCTCTCTCTCTCTCTCTCTCTCTCTCTCTCTCACTCGTTCTCTCTCTTTACTCATTATGTCAAAACATTCATAAACGATTTCACTAAGTTTCGAACTCGTTTATACATGGGTTTAAATAAATCAGAGCAATAGATGTGCATGCATCTCAATATATCCATTATCAGTCTTGGGATTTCTTTTGGAATTTTATTTGATTACCCGAGACGCCATTGGGAATGAGTTTGAACATTTAGAAAAGCATCATTTGATCGAGAAGTTCGCTTGTCTTTTTTACAATTTATGTTGCGTCATTTTGTGCAGAACGAAGCAATTCGTGTTATGCTTTATTTAAAAAGAAAAGATAAAAATATTCAATGTCATCAGTATTATTTGGTCCTTACATCGCACAAAATCTTAAACAGAACAGGTCGTAATAGCTGTTACATGTAGTGTGAATGTTGCGCATCAAACTTTGAAAGATTGAGATTATACGTTCAATAGAATAATACACGTGCATGCACGATGGTGTAGTAATTAATTTTATTCTATGGAAATAGTGGCAAAGATAATTACGTCTCCTATTTCAGTATTTCTACTCATGTTAAGATTTCACAAAATTCTACGCGAATTTACCAAAAAAAGATGTTTCTAATCTGAAGTCTCCAGCGCTTTGTTAAGTGTTTTGTTTCGTTTGCAGTTGTTTCATTCGAAAGAATTCGAGCGATGTGTCTCCTCGATCTTCTATCTTCTTCACATTAATCCAGTCGTAACTTTTCAGAAATCAGATCTGTTCGGTGACTATTTGTTTGTCAGATTTTGGACCAAACACTCGAATTGTACTGTGCAATGATCGTTGGCGGGAAAAATGAGTAAAATAATCGACATCGCGAATCACATTTCGATTCAAACGAAGCGGCCATGTTCTTTTCGACGTTATCTCGATCGATTTGTATTCTTTTTAAATTCATTAAACAACAGTTTATCATCAATGAGATTCGCGCATCGACAAAAATGTTGCTCCAACTCAAATTATGTTACATGATTTGATGAATCAAGTGCTTAAGAAACAAATAAATTAGTAGTTGTTCACGATTTGTAATATTTCAACGTTAGCTCGTAAATGAAGCGTACGTCATACGGAAAAAGTACTTCAAAAGTAGAACAATAATTTAGTTGCGTGAAATTAATGCAAAGTGATTTCCCTCGATCAATTGGTCGCAGAATCCTCGTCGATGCGTGATTTACAAAAAATAGAGAATTTTATCCCACGCGTAAGAAAAAGTTTATCGTCGATCGTCAGCCTTACACGTTTCTTTAATTTTTCGCCTAACCCTTTCCCGACTTTCGTCGCGATAAAATCATTGATCCCAAGACAGCGGTTTTTCTTCGTTTCCTTTTTTTGTGTTTTTTTTTCTCTTCTCCGAAATGGCGTGTCATCCCAGCGTTTCTACAAAACTATACGATTTATCGAGTAAATGTTTATATGTTCCGAAATTTTACCATTAAACTTAGTTCGCTAACTCACTAATCAAATATATCATACAATCACTAAATTATTGCTTTGTCGTACCTTGTATCACACTAATCTAAACCCTATTTTTTTTTTGTTACCTTACGATTTTTTCCCTTTTTCTCCGTGTTTTCTTTGTTCTTGCGATAGCCAGGTTTTGCTGATGATCATGCCTGCTTCTCTGCGAACTTTTTTTCGTGTCACGGATGCATTTGTTTCTCTTTTCTTTTTTTTTTTTTATACATTTGCTCGATCGTTCACGATGTGTTTCTGTGTGTTGTGTGTGCGTCTATGTGTGCATGGGAAACGACTCGATGACGTCACAAGTGCAGCACAGATTTCATATTTATCGACTCTGCCATGTGACTTGAGCGAAATCTAAATTATCGTACGGCGGTGAGCTTGGATCGCGCTCTAATTAATTTCGTAATTGAATTCATTAATGGATAACCTATTTCTTATCACCGCGCCTATAAGTTATCCGCTTAATTATGCAACGGATAATTCATTTTTCACGCCCTCTTCCGTCGCCGCGAATAATTTCGCTACAAGCTACGTATTTAGACAGCCTTGAGAGAATGGTGCACAGGTTCGATCGATAATAATTACAAAATTATGAACCTGTGTCGTGAGCAAAACAGCGTCTGTTTACCGTACCATGGTAATTTAAGAGAAAATGGCTGAAAATGTCTGAGTCGGTACATGACTTCAAAATCACTAAATTATCCATTGCAGACTGTTTTCTCAATTAAACAATTGTATGATTAAAATCTGCATTATTCTCGATTGATATCTTCTTTTCAACAATTTATTTATCCATTCACGAACGCAATATCTAACTTGCGTTATTGAAAAATTATATTTGACGTAGGAGGTGTCCAGTTTCGAAATTAATTAGAGGCGGTCGTTCTCCAAGGAAGTTTTGTGTTGTTGGAGCATTCGGCTAACATACACGTACATATACATATATAATATCTCGGGTGTCTGTCTAATAAGTTAATTAATTACATTTACGTGGACAATGTTTGTCACGTTTTCGTTGTTCTTTTTACCGTGTTCTCAAATATACAGTTAACATATTCGGACTTACACCTCTCCTCTACATACCCCTCATCACTTCCCTCACTTATATTCCTCACCCTTATTGACAATGAGTAATCACCGCGAGAGCGATAATTATTTTATTACATTACATATTTATCGCTGCATAATGGCGCCACACCTTGGGCGTAGTAACGTTTAAGTACTTTGGTCCTTTTTAGAGTCTTTTCTTTTTTTTTTTTTTTGTATATACTTAATTATGCGACGAGTCGAAATGGTAATCGGTCTCCCGCAATGGCTCGCGTGGTAAGGAAATTTCTTTTTACATTTTCTTTTCGCTATGTGTCTGTAGGTGTGTATGCATGTGTGCGTGTGTCTTTCTTTTTCTAAAGATAGTTTTACAGCTATGACATATCTTCCATCGAGGTTATGGTTAATCGTGCTCGTGTATCGGGGAGGGGTTGGTTTTATCTAACAGAAAAATTCTGTTAAGCGAGGGTTCGTGACGGTAACGAGTACGACGCGAATCCGAGCAATTAGCCAGCGATGCAAAAATGCGACATTGTCATGCGTTAATGGGCAATTACGACGATAGCGTAATTGTAATTATAAAGTTTGTCTTTAAGTACGGGATAGTTTACACTCAGATCACTTGCCGATAAATTGACAGGGGGTGACAGCTGAGATTGGTGGATAACCGCCACGTCAATGCAAAGTTCACGGTTATATTACGCGTTGGTGTAGTATACAGGGTGTTTATAAAGCATACAAGGGTTTTCCCCTTGTATTTTTCCAATTCACACGACATGTGTACTATTTAACTAAAATCAAATAGGACATTTGCTTACATGATTAGATAAGGTCAAACGAGACGTCTATTTATATGATTGACCAAGGACAAATGGGACATATTCGAGTTATCGATCAAAAAAATAAATAACGTCGCGTCTTCTAAGTTGATTCTTTTGTTATCTTACATACAGAGCGTTTCCAAGATAGTATTCTATACTGGCGCATTCATACCATCGAATAAAAAATTTCTTCTTCGCAGTTTTGTACACTTGTATTAAAAAATATATGTTGGAAGTTAAATACTAGAGGTTGGACCAGTAACTGTGAATATTGAGTCCATATATTGTTAGTTATTTGTAGTAAATTACGATATTAATTGCTATAATGCAACTTGTTCAAGCTAATATGATTATAAATTGTAACGACTGAGTAATTATAATAATCGATTCGTGATTATTAAGACATCGTTTTTTCGAGGTGGATGAACGGCCAGTGTATGTTGTGACGCCATTTTGGAAATGCTGTGCGCAATATTTCGAAAGAATCCACAACGTCGCGAGATTGATCGCCAACAATTTCCCTCGTTTCGTCATCGTACCCGTTGATTTCCCATTCGATTCGAAGTTTCGAGCACACAGCCAATAAGAACGGTCCTTCGTCGCGGACAAGAAGCTTTCCCCAGACCGAGAAACGTACGAGGCATGATCGTCCCGGGGCCTGGCTTTAAATCGTTTTCGCGTATCTAAAAAATAGTGCGTCGACTTGCCCATTTCATCGTTACATCGTTAATACTAATTTACCATTTTTTTTTTTGTGGTTTCTTTTCATTTTTTGCTTTCGCTCGAGTACACTACGGCGGATCTAATAATTAGTTTGTATTTACGGGTACTCAGTTCTGCGGCTTGCGATATATTACTTCCCTTCGTCGAATCGATTTCGCGCGTCGTTGTTGTTGCGCGCGCCCCCTTCTTCTGCGAATTCTTCGTCTTCCTCTTCGCGGAACGGGTGGCGCGTAGAAATCGTGTCGGCAAGCCCCGAAGCTGCGATATAATTTCGAGAATATTCTTCCGTTGCGAAACGTTCTTCGACGAAATGACGATCGGTCGTCGAGTCGATTCTTTCGTAAAATATGAATACACTATAGTAGTTTAATTCTGACCAAATTTCCACAAATGTAGATAATATTTTCAGGGGCTGTAGCTGTCCTTGGTCGCATTGATCGCTCCTTGTAGGCCCATCGGGCCTTATAGGACTGCTGACACTTTTATTAGCAGCGGGATGGGGATGATATAATAGAGCGATAAAAACAGAACATGTAGAAAAGAAAAGAAGTAAATGTGTTTTGTCAAGTAACAAAGCTTTACCAAACTATGGTGTTTGGTAAATGGTAAGGCAAATATTGTAAAAAAAAGTGAAACGAGCCCCAAGGTCTGAAAACTTGTTTCGACGAAGGTTCGTCACGACGACGAAGAACGTTTCGCCTGGTAAACGCTACAGTTATAGCTCCCCACTTTTTTGGTTTTATTATTGACTACCGTTACGAGGTTAACTCTAATTATAGATTCGATTGACTGTCGATAATTGTAATACAGTTATGAAGACGAGACTGGTAGCTGTGAATATCATTAAAGGTGCGACCAAATTGTAAAGAAGTATCCGACCTTCGCGGTGGTGGTCGGTCCCGATCATAGGGTCCGTTTCCATGTGTCACAAATCCATGATTATCAACATTGTGACGTAACCACGATTTTGAACCGACACAGAGCCATTTATGATTGAAATATGGCATTCGTGTAGCTTGCGTCAGGTGGAAACGGGCCTTTACGACATAGGCGTAAGCTCTACATGCGTCTTTCTTCCACATTGGGAACAGGACTCGAGGATTTACCATAAGCTTCGCTGTTTCTTGCCGCTTAGAATCGTAACGAACGCATAAAACGAGTACAGGGTAACGTTGTTCCCATTTCAACGGAGTTCAGTCAGAATCAGACTCGCTTAACAGACCCAATGAACAAAGAACGATTACGGCTAGGAACTCTACGTACGATCACAAATCATCTTATTGCTCGCGTAATTGTTCGGAAATTATGGGGAAATAATTGAATTTATTTACAGCTGAACGATCTCGTCGTAGAATTGAACGTGTAGCGTTAGGCAAGTCTATTTCTGACCTTTTATCGAGCTACCTACGAGTAGTTCAGAATTGACAAAAAAAAAAGACGATTACCGTAATATTTTTTTAAATCTTTGGTAGGTTCTGTACCACTCGTGCGTTGCTTACGTTTAAACGAACGAATAGAGACGCTTGAGAGAATAATCTTGGTAAACAATGGAGCGAGGAAACGGATAGACAATTTGATGTCGGTACGTTTTGTGCAATTTAAGGCAGGCTCCTGGTTTGTTTTCACGAAAAATCGACTGTTCGTTCTATATTAGCCTCTACAGCGCCCCTAATGCGCAAGGGAAATGCGCAGTTGTATAAAAAGAGACGAATCTTGTGCCAACTATATCAAAGGTAACTTTTGTACGGTCGTTATTTTTACTTCCAGTTTTCTTTTAAAAATTAGTCAAACTATAATCCTATTTATAGTTTAAACATTAGTATACCATGACGTCGAATTCAAACGACAAACCAGAGCGCTACCTTGAATCGCTAAAGCTCTTAAGGAGCGCGGCTCGCCGTTCCACGCCGCTGTCAACTACGTCAACTAATCGATTAAAAGTATTCACGTAAATTCATTCGCCCCCTCTCTTCTATATCGTACAATCGCTCAAAATGTCTCGTACCAAAATATCTCTACGTCATATAAAAACGCGTATCGCGCTAAAGCAAGAGAGCAACACGACGACGGAACAAAATACGATTACATCACCGACTATACACATGCCCTCCGCTAGGGGTGGGCAACCTAAGATAAAACGAAGCGTAGCTCGCTGACTAGAGCGTAAGTCTCTTTGGTTTCATACGCGAGTAATACAACATTCGATACTCGCTTGGCAGGCATCCCTTTCATCGCTTTCGCTCGACGCGACGGTGTCCGTTCGTTTCGTTTTCCGTTTCGACAGGATTCTCTAAATTAATATCACATTGGACAATTTGGTGTTTTTCGTAACGAGGCGTACTGGGTCGAACAAGTCGAAGCATTCTAAGTGGTTCGTACACTCGGCGCAACAAAGCCTGTTTACACTGAAACGATAGGCGCAGTCACATAATTTGAAATGAATTCACTTCATCGTTTTATGAAACGCGCCGTAGAAGCGTTCAGAATTCTGATTAGCAGAGCATGGCAACGTCAAATCGCATTCTACTAATCGGATTTCGCAACTCACCTAGAGTCATCGACGAAGAGAAGTGTTCAAGAATTCTGGACCGCCCATTACCCTCTGAATCGAGTGAAAAACTATACACATTTCTTGTATTTTCATGGGAGTATTATTAATGAGTTGGCGAGGTTTTTTCCGATGAAAATGAGTCCAAACTCGACCCCATTCGAGCAATTTTTGGCAAAACTCAAATCATTTTTTAATATTTCTATTACGTATAAAATTAAAGTCGTCCGAAGTAGGTCGTGTTTGGACTTATTTTCATCAGGAGATCCTCGTAAATCCATTGATAACATTTTCGCCCCTGAATAAACATAAACAATCTTTGGGGTGGAATATCGCTATACTCTGTATATTAAATAAATAACATAAATAAAACTAAACTATAATTACGTAGAATAAACGTTAACTCGAACAACTGTTCATAAATTAATATAATAACAAATTAATAAATATTTATAAATTCTTGAACACTTTATCTGAAACACCATTTCACGTGGACGTTCAGTCTCAACACGTCAAGCAAATCGACTAGCCATTAGGAAAAGTAAGCGCGACTACCCCGAAGCTTGATCTTATCTACTAAAATATAAATCCACCTTATCGATTAGCAGCGAATTAAAAACATAACTACGATCTACGACTAGCTTCACAATCGCCACGAATTAATCGCTCCCGGGCCAGCGCGGTGCGCTTCGAAAATTATTATCCGAAACGGAGAGCTCCCGACGCGACGGCAAAAAGAAATAAAGCGTCGATAAGTTTTATGCGCGAGCCCCAGTTGGTCGCGATCGCGTTCGCGCATTTAACAACGAGGAAATTACAGGAAGATGTTCTATAATTCAGGGGAGCAGAACGAACCGACGCTTTCGCCACCGAATGGTCATTCCGGCGTTCAACAGGTGGTCCAGTTTACGTGAAATGTTGATGAAAACCTTCGACGTGTGCCCCGTCGCATTGTGCGCCGCGAATGTCGATGAAACTTCAAAAAAAGAAAAGAAAAAAAAATAGAAAAAAGAGTGCTTAGGGAGCGTCGAGTCCTAATTCGATTTATTCGAGATACGTGTCTCTTAACCTCGATGTTCTATTTCTGATTGAATGTAAGCATGATGCATTCAAATATTATTAGCTTTGGTCGTATCATGAATTGTTAAATGTCGGGTTCCTAGTTTATACCTATATAAATGGTTTGTTGAGACGATATGGTGGTCCTTCGATATAAGGGTAATGTGATTAGGTTTACCGGCGTTGTTATATCGAAAAAAGGTAGTGATCTTAGTTTGTATTTTTGTTTGACCGTGTCAAGAGTATTGTTAATGGATTGCTGAGGTCTTTCCGATGAAAATCAGCCCAGACACGACCCACTTCGGACTAATTTCATTTTTACGTCACTCAAATCATGTTTGAAAAACTTTTTTACTTAAAATTAAAGATAGTTCGAACAAGGTCGTGTCTAGGCTTATTTTCATTAGGGAAACTTTGTCAATCTATTGCTGATACTTTTATGAAGATATACATTTTGATAGAAAAACATTGAAATTAAAATTTTCATTATTGAAGTCTCAACAAATGACCAATTTGCGTTTACACAGGCACAAGATAAAATAGAAGTTGTAATTAATATAGATAGACAATTGTAAGGTAGAATAGAAAACTTTATATGAAATTGTACCTTTCCTAAAATCGATACGTGGAAAGTAAGAAATCGTGTGCGATTTCCCGACGCTCCCAAGCGTTAAAAACGGAGCATCGTCGAAGATCAAAAGCTGCACATCGAAACCGTGTCGTGAGTGACAGAGCTTTCCTTCGTTCCTTCGATTTTCATTGTTTCGTTTCGTCTCACGAAGCTCTTTGACCCGACCTCCTTTCTCCTCGCTCGTTTCGCGTGAATTTTCTTCGAAATTAATTTTACTTGAAAATTGATGGTCCCTCGATAATATTGTATCGATTCACCGCTCACCCACGCCTTGATCGTGGCAACCCCCTCGAGTTCTACCGAACAGGAGCCTTAATTACGATCGATCAGGAACGAACCGTGTCGACTCGTTTCCCTCGAAGCTCCGCGAGTATCGATTTCGCGGCCGACATCGAGCCCAGAGGGATGAAAGGAATGCCATTTGTGTCGCGCTGGTCCGAACGATACCGATCGTTCGACACCTGAACCAGAGATGGGCAACGATTCGTTCAAATAACAGACAAGACGCGTGACGTTTTTGTTCACCATGAAATTGTAAAATTTTTATTTGAAAAGTAAGGGCTAAAAAGTTTTGTTTATCGTTTTACTCGTTGTGTTAATTCTATTTGTATCCAGACGAGAATTTTGCCCATCTCTTGGCCTGAACATGCTTTCTTCCACGATTTCAACATCCAACCGCGGTAGGGGATACATTGGCGTCGCGCGAGGCACCAAACGGAAGTTCGAACCGTGTCTGCGCGTTGGTTCGACGTCCACTGATCAACAGGGTGCTTTTATTACGAAGAGAAAAGTTCATGTAAACAGTAGACATATGTTTTTTAGAATTTTGGTTTCTTTAAAAGAGTTTAGCTGGAATTTTTAATGTTATATTTGAAGGAAAGTGTAACGAGTATACCAATTATCCATTTTCATTCTAGGCAAAAATATTATATTACTAATAGTCGCTGATGAGTATTAAAGATATTGAAGAAAAAAATAGTTTTTGAGATTTTTATGACTAAACAACACAAACTATCTGGCTAAGTACAGTACACAGTGCAGCCCATATTAAAGTGTTAGTTACAAACACGTTTCATCCAAAATCTTCTTCTTTCCTCGGTACTATGTATCAATGTATCCTTGAGAATATAATAATAATTCTGCCGAGGATGTAAACACAGCAGAATATTTTCTAAATTAATTAACGCGCAGTTCCCACTCTGCATATTAATTTAGCAACTAGAAAATAAAGATCAACGTTTACATAAACTTTTCTCATTATCCCGAGTTTCCCCATCCATGAGTTCCTAGATTCACTGGAAACACCCTGAACAACAAATCCTTCGCACACAAAAATTGTTCTCGCTTACCCAGATTTCGTGTTTGTCGCGATGACTCGCCCGATGACGTCAACGATGACGGCGAGGAAGTTACCTTATCCCCTTGGAGACTTTCCTTCCCTAGTTGTAGGTCCTCGATCGAAACCTCGACTCGATTCCCAAGAGTTTCTCGAAGAGAAAGTGGTAAAAGTGGGATGAACTCGCCGTCACCGTTGAGGCTATCGGATTCCAACCTGGGCCGTTTCGGACGTGAATTGATCCATTGTTGTCGACGTGAGATCAACGACACGTAAACGTTGATCTTCCATCGGTTTCCTCGACGACGGTGGCGAACTTCTGCAGCGTGAGGTCTCGTGCACCTTGGCGAAGAACCTTGGCCCGCCTTTGGTTCGCTTGGGGCCATCGCTCACTGGAAAAGAAAAGTTTAGATCAGGATTTAGATCATAGTCGTTCATCATAGTCTAAATCGTCACTACAGTCATCCCATCGTACATAGAATTTCTAAATTGAGCGTATCTCAAAAAGGCACAAAAATGAAACAATTCCGTCAATCTTGCTAATTATTCCGACAACAATAAGTTTCACCAACATATGATTTACCTGACGATGACCGACCGCGCGAACGACGCGCGTCCCACCGAGACCCGAAGCCTTATAGTATCGGGTCGACGTCGTTGCTGCTGCTGTCGTCGTTCTCCCTCTGGCAGGCGGACTCCAGGTGTTTGTTCAGGTATGACTTCAGGGCGAACGATTTGTGACACTTGTGGCACTCGTAGTTCTTGTCGGAGGAATGGGTCTGCATGTGAGCGCGTAGATTCGAGCGATCGGCGAACGCTTTGCCGCAGTGCGCGCAGCCGTACGGCTTCTCGCCCGTGTGGCTCCTCAGGTGACCTTGGAGCAACCAAGGTCGCGAGAACATCTTTCCGCACACGCCGCAGCTGTGCGTCAATTTGTGGGTGAGCACGTGCATCGCCAGGGCGGGCATGCTGACGTACGCCTTTCCGCAGTGGATGCACTTCTTCGCCGATTGGGAGTCGATGCTGCGGTGCGTTTGCTTATGTCTGGACAGGTTCGACGAGGTGGCGTATTGTTTACCTGAAATTGGGGAACACTTTGCGCGTGATTCAGCTCAGGACTAACTCTTATCCTTACATCTACTTTGGACTTAACTCGCATCTAATTGAGACCTATTGCAAAACTCTGTATATTTAAGTATGTATGTATATTGCCTTCTGTTTTGTTTTATTATTGTTGTAACTGTATTGCATTAATCTGTCATTTACTATAAGGACGTACAAATCAGAAACTCGTATTGTTTAACATTTTTGCCAGAAATCACTAAATTGTCTCAAGAAGCAAAGTCATCTGGAAACATGCTCGTACCCCGATCCAAACTAAGCCAGTTATCACTCCCAGAATAATCCCTACTATCCTAAAGCCTATATCTCAAAGGTCCCAAAAGGGCTCGCTAACCACGCGAACCAACCTCCCTAAAACATTCACCACAGCTAACCACCACCGCCATCCTCAATTATCCTGAATCTATCACATCGTACTCCATATCGAGGAACATACCGCACTCGCAGCAGACGTAACGTCCGATCTTGGACGTCTCAGGCGTCTCGACCGGTTCAGCTTCCGGAATCTTCTGGCTGTGTGTCGTCTTCTTGTTCTTGGACCTGCCATCGGCCACCAGTAGCGTGTCGTAGGTGTAACTCGCCGGTTTTGCCTCCGACTGCTCGATCACCGTCTGCACCTCCTTGTCCTTCTGGCTAGGCTGCGAGTTGGGGTTGTTGTTCTCGATGTCGCTGCTGCACTCGGATGTAGGCGGCGTCAGGGGTGGCGCCGCCTCGATGGCTTGGTGCTGGTGCAGCTGCTGATGGGGCGGCGGTTGAAGGGGCTGCTGGGCGACGATCGGTGTGCACGGGATGGACGGTGTGCTGTAGGTCAGGAGGATCTCCTGGACTGGCGAGAGTGGTATGAAAACGCTTCCCGTTTGCTGAACTATCGTCGCGCTAGGCTCGTAGATGATGCTGGCGGTGGAAGGTTGGTGAGGCTGGTGATGAGCGTAGACAGCTGAGCTCGCCAGGTCGATGGTGTTCACCTGGTAGATCGGTTGGTCCGGCTGGTAGACGGTCATTTCTTGGATGTCGGTCGCTGGGGCCTCTATGACGCTCTGTGGCCCGATGGCGACGCTCGGGGGCGGCAACGGGGGCAGGGACCTCGAGAGCTCCAGCAGGTCGTGGGCAGCTTCCGTTTCCGCGGCTGAACGATCCTTGAACATCGAGGACACGTGACTGGTGATCACGTTGCAGTTGGACGATCCTATCCTGGTGTCTGGCGTCGGATGGTTCGTCGAGGTGTTCGCGGTCTCCTCCAGGTGATACGGTGTGGCGGTGCTCGAGGGAGGCGACGGTTCCCCTGGTGGCGAGTGATGGATGATCGAGATGGTCGTTTGCTGGTCCACGGACGTTCTGGACGGCGACCTGGGAGTCGTGAAGAGTAACGTGGACGTGGTCGTTGTCGCGTTCTCGACGCCCGAGCCGATCGACTCGGTGGGCGGCGTGGTCGTTGATGTGGATCCCGTCGTGCAGACGATCACCGCCGTCGTCTCCATCCGCATTGCCGTTGGGAACTCCGTCGTCGCGTCGTTGGGCGTCCATGGGCTGGCGTCGACCTTGCTGGGCGCGGTGGTCCTCTCCTTCGACGCTTCCTGCTCGGATGCCCTCACCGCTGTCGCTGTCGTGTCCTGAGACTGCGTGCTCAGATATTCTGGGGAAGAGGAAGACTCGGTGTAGCGTGGGAGAGTTTTAATTAAATATTACTACGCTCTCATATGCCTATCAGTGTGGTGGGCACACACAAAAACGTCAATCACGTGTATCTTGGTTAAAAATAAAAATAAATTCAGATACATTCCATACCATTTGTGTTTAATTAAAAAACAAAGTTCAGAAGATCCTTTTCAGATAACCCTCTACATCCATCGATGCAATAGAAACATTTACCTCGACCTACAGCATTTTAAAAATGTCCAGGACCTATCCTAAAATAAAATACGTCGTACTCGACGCCAGAGCGTCACATCCCTCCCCCAATCCGTATTCACAGCCCCCGAGGGCTCATCTTCTTCTGCGTCACCAATACAAAATCCGCCCACGCATTCGTGCGACGACTCCATCTCGCGACACATCATTCCAAGTTACCCTCGACAAAGGTCCCACGAGCGAGGAACGTTTGCTCGAACAGGTCCGTTCGTCAGGTTCCCGAGAAGCCCAAGAAGACATTGTTAACCGTAACTCCACGGAAGAAGTAGCGCCATCGATCCCCCCGGTTCTCCTTTATGCGCAGCAATTAAACTTTCCGTGCATCGGGCAGGGGCGCTCTGCCTTCGATGGAAAACGAGAAGCCTCGGCGGTGAAATTTAATAAACCCACCTGGCTAGATGGGGGTGGAGAGGTAGGAGGAAGCTGAAGGAGGTTGAGGGGGTGGTACTGGAATTTCGTTTGTAATGGAAAAACTTTGACGGTGAAGTGGTGTGAGGAGAAGGAGGAGGAGGAGGAGGAGGGGGTTGGGTGTACGTCTGTTTCCGTTCAGGAGGTGGAGAAGAGGCGAACACAGAAACGAAGCGAGGAAATCGCTGGCGAAACGAAGAAAAGAGCATAGTCGTCTCTTCATCCACCCCCTTTCTTTCCTTTTTTCCTTCCCTTTCGTTCCTTTTTCCGTTCACGGTAATATTAACGGGACACCGTAGGAAGACGCGGCGTAACTCGATTTCTCGATTTGACTTTTTAATCGAGACTTAATGAGCAACGGAGGAAACCAGGGGACGGAGGCGGAGCGTCATTCCCGAGTCCTGTTGTAAGCGTGCCAAGCGCGGAGTGTCGAACCACGTCGTAGAAGCATGGCGAGCTGTGGAGGTGAGGGAGGAATGGGAGGGTTGGAAGGCACTGGGTGCAACGGGACGGGGGACGGGATTATGACGGCAAGTATGTTGGGAAACGAGGTCAAAGGGGATGAGTGGATGGCTAAGGAGAGTCTACGAGCGAGCGGATATAAAATCTCGCGATAACTCGGTTATGAAACTGCGCGTTTCGTTTCAACTGGGGCTGACTTCCGTGCAGGAGGACCGCTCGTCCTCGAATGGGAATCGTTTCGAGTCCTCTGTTGCTCTTCGACGTCGACCTCGTCAAAAGAGGGTGTGAAACTTTCCTCGATTAAGAACAAAACGGTCCTGTGCGATTTTATTCTTCGGATTTCGACGATTTATTCTGTGTTAGATGGCGTGAGGTGTTGATTTAGGAGCCATAGAACTTAATTCTGTGTCTCAACATTTATAGGGAAAAGGGAAGTCTCGACGTTAAGCAAAATAATTATTTATGGCTTCGATAAGAAAATTTCGTTATAACTCGGAATATGTTTCGATGAAGGTAACAAAGTATTTGTTAAATATGAATTTGATTAACGAATTTCCCAAATAAGTTAAACGGAGAAATGTTTTTCATTATAGATACAAATTCGTCATCTTTTACCAACTTTCCCGTACATTTACGATTATAATTTAAAGAAAAATATTTACTTATCGTTACTTTTGTTACTAATCTCCATTATGGTGGATCTAAATACATGATTTATATCTCAATGTGATGTGTACGTATTTTAAAAACTATTCGTTCTATAAGAACTAGGAATCCTACTTCTACATATGTATTTCACAGTGATGACCGAGGTGTGTATAGCGTTCGATTGGCAACGACGCAAGCGTGCGCAGGCATTGTAACGAGTCTCAAGAACGGTTGTTGCAGCTCCATTAACGTCTCCAGCAAGTTTCGCATGACACTTTCTCATTCACTCGATTATGAACACGAACCGTAAACCTAGCCTCGCGAAACGGGGCCAGGCGTCGTTGAAGTGGGAACTGGGAACGCGAACGACGATTCCAAGACAATTAATGCAGTTTTGCTACGAGGAGCAACACATTACCGGGAAATTGCACCCGGTGCCGCACGAAGCTGCCACCCACTACGAATAGCCACCTCGTTTAACATTTTTCTCTTTTTCGAACACCCCTTCTTCCTCCCAAGGGGTTGGGAATCAAACAGGTAAGAAGCTTGTCACGTCGGAATCTGATGGAAATACTTTCTTAGCATGGATTTTAATGGAGAAACAGATTGCAAGTTTGAAGTAGAAATGTTTATAATAGGCGTAAAAAAAGTCTTCAGGTAGTGATTTTATGAGTTCTGTCAAGGAATGATAGTTGTACTTCGTTTCACAGAATATTTTGACTGTAATTGTAACATTATTGTTGGAGTAACTGTTTAAACGATTTTATATAACAGTGTACTATTTAGAGAAATTGTCTATATAAATATGAGTATGTAGTTTGATAAGAATGTTTGTAGAAATGTACAAATTCTTCTTGCATACCACTGACAATAATATTGTAAAGCAGTTGTAGCAATAATTCCTCTAAAATAGAACTCATCAGTGCTTTGAAGAAGTATTTACAATCAAAGAGACCGACTGGAAAGAATTCCTACTGCACAGTCGAGAAATTCAACAAAAATTCCTTTAAAACAGAACTCGCCAGTACTCTTAAAAAGAATTCCTATTATGCATCCCAACCATTCGATAAGAATCCCACCTGAATTCACCGGAATCCATTTCATTACTATTCCCAAAAGAATTTCTATCGCCCAACCCAAATATTCAAAAAAAATTCCACGATACAAATTTATTTAACCCTGCCCACCTCATTAATTGCTCCACAGAGGTTCTGGTAAACATTTTGGGCATCGCGAAACGTACAGATATTCGACAAACGCGTCTCAATTTTCGTCGTGGCGCTTTCACATGCAGAAATTTTTCTTCCCCTGCGACGAAACACTCGGCTGTGTGCCGCACCAACCCGAGACGCACGATATATGACTAGAGAGTGAATCAATACCGCGGGCCTTTGGAACAAACAGCAACATTCACATTAATTGGACGTAATAGCAGCAGCCAAAATATTGATTACCATTCTCCTTTCCTCGTTTTCTATGACGGATGAACCGGCACGTTCACGTCGACCCGATTTTGTTTTGAATTTTTCTTGCACGGGAAATTCCTCTGACCATTTCCTATTGAATAATTTCCTATTGAATAATGCAGGGAATAATGGAGGGAAGGGAGAGGTATGGAAATTTTTCTATTCAGAATTTGTATTATAATTTGGTATGGAGATGGAGAAAATTGTCGTTTGGATACAAATGGATTTTGACTATGAAGAAGATATAGAAGTTTTTAGAGTTTAGGTTTAAAATTCAAGTTCAAAATTCATTATTTCAATGTGTTATGTATAGACTGTGGATGTTTACGCGTTTATGGCAAGTGAAAATTTGTGAAATGTATGAAATATCAACAATAAAATACATGTTGGACCGATCAGAAGATAACACATACTTTTATTTAAATCTCAATTCTATATCTGAATCTGTAAAAATATGAATGTGCATAAACATTTCCCGTCTAGTTAATATGGGCAGATGTTAAGCAACAAGTGAAGTTCGTTATTTAGCTACAACATTTTTTGTCTGTTTTCTTTCTGAGGAGAAGTCTTCCCGTAGTTGAATATTTAGAATTCTTTTTCTGTGTGTCTTGTTACAAATAATAAGTTTCTCATCAGACTTGTATTATAATGTAAACGAACACTAATGACGTTTGGCGGTAAATAAATAATCGACACGTGTACCAACAGTTTCGTGAGTTAATTATTTCCTCACCAGTGTGTCAGTATGTAAATCAATGCTTCTTGTGTCAATAAATATTGAATAATAAATGGGATATGCTTTGAATAACAATAGTGGAAGTACTCTCTTTAACGCTAAAAATGTAAACCATGTCCTATAAGTGGCACAGTACTGTAATCTAAACTCAAGCCCTTTTTATCAACAGGTATTTCCATGCCATACAATTTACCCATCAAAACGTCATTTACAGACCGGACCAAAGTTGGCCACTACATCTTCGTTCCTAACAGCAACACCAAAGCTTCTCGTCTTTGACAGAATCCCCTCTCCCCTCTCTAACTCCAACCAACCACCCCCAAAACCAGACGTCCTTTTCCCACCCCCGTAGCAAGTGTGCCCGGTTCAATTATCGTTTCAAGGGTCACAAGTCGAACTCATAACAAGCGAGGGGTAGGGGCTAATAGTCGTACCTTGAGCAACAGGGGGTGCGACGCTCCCTTCTATGGGCGAGACCGGGATCTGCATGGTGGTCGGCGATGGCGTGCTCCTGCCGCGTCCCCAGTTCTCGAATCCTCTGGCAACGCTGCTTATGTACTTGTTGCACGGGGCCTTCTTCACCATGTAGCACCGCGGCATCTTGGCTGTCTCAGTTTTCGCGCTGTCTCGAAGCTTGAATAGAAATACGGAGAGCCCCCGTTCAGTGTCCCGAAGCGGGGATCCACAGGGCTCCTCTTCGAAGGTGTCTACGAAACACCGTGTGGCGCATCAGTCTTTCCCAGCCACTACGGCGCTACTCGTGAATTATTTATCGTCTCTGTCTCTCGATTCACGAGATCTTATCAGAGTAGAACCCCCAGAAAAGCTTTTGCGTTTAGAGGACACCGGGTAGATCCTTCGACAGCTTCGCCAGCGATCGTCCTTTGTCACCCGATCGTTCGATCACGTGACAGATCGAGCAAAATGTCATTATGGCGGATCCTCGAAGAGGCCATATCAGCTTTGGCGACTCTTATCAACGCTTTAACAGATGAGATCGGTGTTCCTCGCGGACCTGGCGGACATTCTCGTTCTTCCGGGTGAGAAGGTGAAAATCCCTTCTGGTGTCCTCAACTCGAGTCAGACGTTCCCTGCTTGGTCCTGTCGCGCCCTTCGAGTATTACCTCTGAAATCTGTGACTCTCAGAGATCCACGTATAACAAATCCTTCGTAACGCGAGAACTTAAAATGTCTCGCTGGTGGGATCGGTGGAAAACGATCCTCTCGGGCTCCGATCGGAAGTTACCGCGACGTTTTCGCGTTTCTTTGGTGTTTTAATTCTAGATGTCGTTGCACGATCGTTTTAGAGGGGATGCCCCGTCCAACTATGCTTCCTCGCGTACTCGCGTGTACACGGAGAGACACGGATCCGCGTTCTGTGTGTATGTACAGCTAGCGTGTGTATATATAGACGCGTGTATACGTTTCCTATTAAAATATCTTTCGGCGAAGCGAGTGGTTCAGCTTCGAGGTCCGAAAAATTAGTGGCTCGAAGCGAACGAGAACCGTTCTGGCTCCCAAGGGTGTGAGAGATTGTTCTGCCACGCGAAACGTGCCTGGCTTGCCCCTAGTTCTCTCTATTTTACTTTGTTTTCCTTAAAACATTTTTTTTCGCTTTATTTCATAAATTTTCGTTTTCGTCGCTTTACCTTGTTTGTAATATTGCTTTCGTTGTATTCACGGGTGGAAGATTACGCCGTAACGACGCTTACGCGTGCACGCCGTGCGCGCGGGATACACTTGACTGGCTCATGTAAGCTCGCCGCCCGAGCCACTCTGGCGTACGCGTGTTTCTTTAACCATCTACTTCAGCCCTGTTTCCCGTTTACGATCAGTCGTTCGACATTTCAATCCTCTTCTTCATTCGAACGTTCACTCCTGGCAATCCCTATCTATTCCTCTCTCTCATCGCACCGCTCGCGGTGTCCGTACACAACTTCCACAGGAACACTTCACAACTTCGCGGCGATCCGCGCGATCGTCATCCTCGTCGGGTCTCCAGGTGCACGTACACACGACGGGGTATTGCGGTAAATCTCTGTCGCAGGTTAAGTCTCGTTTCTCTCATCAGCGTTGAGCGTCTATTCGGACGCAGCGTCCCGATCCGTCAGCGACGCCTTCGTCCGTTGCTCTGGTGGTCGGGCGTGTCTGTTTTCGCGAGTGTGCCCTCATCGCGACGATTCCAGATCGACCAGGCGTTTAGCTCGTCGAACTCAAGCGGGGGACACCGGCTGGACACTTGTTGAAGCCCAGGTACGAAGATTAATCGCGAGCCCTCCGGTTCCTCGAAGCCACGCGTCCTCGTCGTTCGCGGATCGACCAATGGCCAAGGTAGAGCTTCGTCTCAAAGCCGTGGCACGGGATTGCGATGGTAGAACTGCCAATGTTTACGGGCATTGCGTTTCATCGAGCCAACGGGTCGCACCGCCACGCTGAGATCGCGGCCAGGTAACCGCCGTGCCTGGCTACGGCCACGACGGCCGCAGGGTCGTTGATCCCGCTACGATGGCTGGTGGTTCCCCTTCGTCCTTCCTCGTTCCTTTTCGAAAACGGCCGTCTGTCGTTGGCGGTGGGCGGGTGTGCCTTTTGCAGGGACGAGCAACAAGTTGGACAACAGGTCCGCGATGTTTGTGTATCCGTACGTGTGCGCTGTCGCCTTACGCGCGCAGTCGATAACTCCCTCCGGGTAAGTCGACGACCCCCCTCCTCCTCCTGACGTATTTCACCAGCCAGCTTCGCCGCCCGCTTGTTCGCCCTTTTTCGGCTACCGTGGCGAGAGCAGTGGCAGGACCGCGCGAGAGGCTACAACTCTGCCCTCGTGCGGCTGTTCCTCGGGTTCCGTGAGCCTCCGAGAGGAACCGTCAGACTATCAGTCGATCCTCTTCCCTGCGGGCCGCCCGGACTCGGTCGCAGCTCCTTGGTTTCTCTGTCCTCTCCTTGTTGTCTTGGTGCGATTATCCCCCGCAAAATTCGGAGCGCGGGGATCGTTTCCCCCAGGAACGATGCGCGAACGGCGAGCGGACGTCGAACGAAGCTCTCACGCGACACCGACGCGCACCAAGCGTAACCACGACGACGGCTGCTAACCACCGCGTTTCACCGACTATTCGCCACGACGTGGACGACGTGCACCGTTCCAGGACGCGTAGCGGTTGGTTCCACAGCCCATCCAACGGGCTGGACGCGAGGCGTCTACGCGGACGAAGATCGAAGATGAAGATGTACCACCTGTGGGCGCAGAAGCAACAATTGTCCGCCGTGTATCGCGGTGGAGGGTAGCCCGACTACATGGCTCGTACCGGGTGTGGCTGGGGTGCAACTGCCAATGCAGCGTCGTCGGCCAGCGTCGCCCAGCGTCCTGGGCGCCTGCGTCCTTTCCTCCCTCGCTTCGTGCAGCTCCTTCCCGTCACCCCTCGCGGCTTACTGCGCGGCGTACCGCCGCCTCTCTTCTACCCCTCGCACACACCCGTTCCCTTCTCTCTCGTCCCAGTGTCCACAGGTTCTCCTCCTCCTCATCCGCGCCACCCCCGGCTCCGTCCTTCGTCCCTCGCGTTTCTCCGTTTCGCTTTTGCTCCGTCCCGGCTCCCTTTTCCCGTATCGAGGGGTTGAAACGAGCCAGAGGAACGAGGAAGCCGAGCAAGAGGGTGGCGGTGAATCGGCAGGGGAAACCCCTCGCCGCGACGCCGATGTGGCTCTTGCCCATCGATTTTGTACGAGTTCGGGGCCGGAGCAACACCTGTTACCGCGCCGGATGGAAAGGAGTCGGAGAGCACAGAGGGGCGGCGAAGGGAGGGATTGCGACGGGGGACTCGTGAGCCACGAGCGACTATAATCCTTTTCAAGAATTTCGGCCGATAGAGGCTAGCGGGGGAGTGAACTCTGCCGTTGGTCGACCATGTCCCGACTCGTGGTTCTCGATGTTTATTTTTTGGGATTCCCCTTTCGTTCGAGATAGATATTCTCTTGGGTCGAGGGATGCGTCGGAGAGCTGATTGATAGTTCATTTAGCGCTAGGTGGATCAGCCTATACCTGAGCCTACGCGAATCTTGCGAAGCTTCTCGAGAAAAAGGGAAAACCATCGTCGAAGCGAGTGGACGTCATCGACGAGGGGGATGGTAGTGGTTGGAGTCTTATCCGAGGCCAACGTTGTCCGTGTTGCCTATGTAGCCGGAGCCCACGAAGGAGGTGAGTGTGGGGTGGTGTCCCTGACCGGCCAAAATTCTTGAAAGGGATTATAGTAGAACAGGGGTGGACGGAGAAAGATGTACTAGGGTGGTTGAGAGGCTTCTGGCGAGACAGAGAGGCAAACACTCGCCCCCGAGAGAGGAGAAACGAACGGAGGGTGACTGCGCGGCCGAAAGAGACAGGCTTACGTCGATCGAGTGGGAGGACGCGGGACAAGGTGGATTAAACGGAGATAGAGCGTCGAGGGTGAGCGGCGGACGACGGTGGCGAAGCAGGATGAACGAAACGGAGGTGAGAACGCGCGAGGGAACGAGAAGGGGAACGCAGAAGAGGACGAATGAAGAGAGAGAGAAAGGCGACGTCGGCAGCGAGCAAATAGCGACGTCGAGGAAACGCCGACGCCAATCGATAGCGCCGACCCCGGCGTCGTGCCGCGTTCGCTGGCAGGGTTCTGCGATAGCGCATCGCTCATGTTACCTTTTCTCTCCCTGTGCTCGCGCTATCCCTCTCTCTGAAGCGTTTCTGTTGCGAGTCTTCTATCACTCTCTCGGTCCATCTCTTTGCCTCCTGAGTCTAGGGATCGCTATACCGATAAACGTCGCAAATTCCTTTAAAACTTGTATCGCTAATTAGGGATAACTGCGAAAGGTGAAACATTTTTTTCAAATTCTTTTCTTCTGGTAATTCGATGTCTTTAGTTGCGGGGGGGGGGGGGGGAGTATTGAATATTAAAGAGGAAGATTAGTACAATTTTAATTCCGTTTTATATTTCTCATTGCTTTGAGGTGCCTTGAATTGTAAGTGGCAGCAAGAGATGGTTAGAAAGTGTCCTATGTACAGGTGTATGTCTATGTTGACCTCCTTTGGTTTAGATCTGAAGAGTGGTTGGTCAGAGAATGATTAAATTTGGTATAATGATGCATACACATAGCCCGTTGATGCTATTAAATTTTTGAGAAATTCTGTTTGCATGAATGCATCTTCACTGTTCGTGAGCGAGAAGAATGAATCTGGCCACGGTTTTAAAATTGAGAACTCGAAGACCATTTTATCTCGTTATAATGTCTGAGAGGGATAATGCGACAAGATGGTTCTCCAGTTACAATTTGAAGAGAGATGTATTCTTCTCGCGCGCTAACAGTACATATCTACGTGTACGTATATACGCATTGTTCCTTTGATATCTCTGGATGAGATGGTCAGAAAATTATGAAATTTAGTATAGTGTCTTCGATACATTAATACCATTAAATTTTCGAACAAATTCTGTATGCATGAATGTATGTATGCTAGTCTGATTTACTTTATATTTAAGAAGCATCGATGGCATTATATTCTTGAAGAATCGAGGGGATAAAGAAACGTCGACACAGAAAGCGTCACATTTTGTTTTCGAATGCGGAGTTACGCCGAGAGGGGAAGCGAGATGCTGGAAAAGTTTAGCCAGCGTTTTTATAGGCAATATGAACAACTCTCCGCAACAAAATTAAACTCGCGTGAAAAATGGCGAACTTCAAAGTTCCGTAATTTTATGAAAGCTAGCCGCAGAATGATGTAAAAAAAAGCATTCTGAAACTTGAAGACTCATTTTCCAAATCCTATCAACGACCGTCCTGACCACGAAGAATAAAAAACCTATCAGCCTAAAGTATCCCGTTTTTCATTCTCTTCTTAGTACAAGCTCTCCAATATTATTTTCTATTCGTTTTTAACACATACGCTCAGTGTTCAATTTTCATCTTTTCTAGTTAATGAACCTGGATTGTATAATATATTTATCATGTCTCCACCGATGCACACTTTTGTATATCTCATATAAATAATCTTCTATTTCTATTTTTATCCGGATAAGAGCACAGGTCATCTCTGCTCCGTTTCGTCCATCCTTGGTCACGTGTTCGCACGGGAGCGAGAAGAATCTACGCTCTACCGACCCTCCACCCCCTGGCGATGGTTTGTATGCGCACCTTATAATCTCGACAGTTATTCTCTGACGGCTAACCGCCTCGTATTGTCTGCGTCGTTCGCCTTTTTCTTCTCCCCTCTTCACCACTTTTCTTCATCGTTCGTCCTCGGCGGGGGAGGATAACCGTGAAGGGGGGTGCAATTTCTTATCGTCGAAGCCCGTTTGGAAATCTTCAGGAGCTTTACGACGGTGGATCTTTCTCGAGGTGCTTCTTTCTCGGGGCTAAAAATTTGTCGTCGTGAGAAAATTGGCTCGACGTACGTGGCGCTTCAAATCCCTCCGAGTTTCGCGCGGGATCCGTTTGAAAAATTCTCCGCGACAAATCCCACCGACACACCTTGCTACGGACCTGATTAGAATGAATGTTTTCCATTCGTGAAACCTCAGGTGAAAGCTGTTCTCGCGAGATGGAACTGGTGGACTCTAAAGATATTTTTCTGAGCAACCTCAACAATTTTTTTTTGAGGAGTGGGGACTCAAAAAATTGTCGATTAGAGATTCCAGGTGCTTTTTATGTGATTTAGGATTTCATATAATAAATAAATATATATTGATCCCTTCTAAGCCAAAAACTATCATAATAACCAAAATAATGCTACGAAAAAGTAAAACCACCACAATAGAAACGATATATACATAATAACATTATTGTGAAAAGTAAAATTCCTATTTCCGTTGAAGCATTTTTCCGGGAACAGGGTTGAAAACATATCTGCAAAATGCTTTCCTAACGAGTTATAGTTTCGGAAAGTTGCGCACCAAGGGGAAGTAGTTCGAAGTGGTCTTCTTGCAGGTTCTCTGGATCTCAACTTCCCGGATGTTTTCGTTTGGGGACATCTCCGCGAGCTTGTTTATGGAAGGCCACTTGCCGCTGTATAAGATCTTTGCGCAGATGGTGCTCGTGCGATTCAAAACACTCCAGATATTTTCTGACAATTACGTGCACCGCGAGGCGGTTCAAGTTTTATTTATGGTGACACCAACATAGTCAATAAAATAAATGAATAAATTGAGAGTGTATATATTCTCATCAATCTTTGGTCATGCCATCGTTCTCTTTCTCATTTTCAAGTTGCTTGTCGCTCACCATGATTGTATCATTGTTTCAATCTCTCATCGTGTCATCGTGTCACCCTACGATCACGTCATACCTTTCATCGTGTTATTCTGTCACCATTTCATCGCATCACCTTGTCATCGTGCCACCCTGTCATCGTGCCACACTATCATCATATCGTACCTTTTATCGCGTCACCAATGTGCCATTCCTCCTCAACCTACCCTCAACATCCCACCACATTCCCAAACCTCAACAATCATCCACCACAATTGTTCACCTACAGTCCACCCCTTCCTCAGTCCTAAACAGCGACATCTGACGTCGCGTGACTCCACCGAGAGCAACCTTGAGCGGCCATTACATTTTGATCCTCCCTAGCACCTCGGACAACCGGCTGGCGAGTGTCTCCGTCCGAAAGAACCCTTACGGTTCGATCGTGTTAGACGGCCGGGTAATTGGGGGATACATTCTATTTTGCGATCTCCTCGGTAACTCCCACTTCGCGTCCGTTCGCTCGTTCTCGCCCGGTCGTACGGTAATTGCGCATATTCACCGGTTGCTCGGCAACCTCGGACGCACGGCGCCGGGCATCCCGGGAGCGAAATGACGCGAGCTGGCTCAAGCTACGCAGCCACGCTGCTCTCCAAGGCCGAGGACCTAATTAAACAGGACGAATCCGAACTGGACAGTCGAGCCTCCGAGTCGCAGCTCCGTGGAAAACGGGCGAAGCGTGACGACGCCAACCTAGGGAACCCTGTCATTGTTTTTCAGCCATGTCCTCTCCCTTGTTAGACAGTCTAAACGAGGTCAGAACATGGATTCGAATCGATTGTCAAGGAGATCTAAGAAGGAAGTATTGGTTGTACATAGTGGTCTCGACGTGTAGTCAGATCTCTGGCGTGAGACTTGTTTTGGAATCCTAGATGGGGGTACCTTGATGTAGGACTCAAGTAAAGCTTCAAAGGCTCAGATTCCTTAGCTTTGAGTTTCAAAGGCTCAGCGCCCTCAGCATCGAATCTCAAAAGCTCAGTGTTCTTAGCTTCGAGTCTCAAAGGAGCAGTGCCCTCAGCATCGAATCTCAAAGGCTCAGTGTTGTTAGCTTCGACTCAAAGGCTCAGTGTCCTCAGCATCGAATCTCGAAAGCTCAGTGTTCTTAGCTTCGAGTTTCAAAGGCTCAGAGTCGATGCTCAGTATTCTCAGCATCGAATCTCAAAGGCTCAGAGTCCTTAGCTTCGAGTTTCATAGGCTCAGTGTTCTCACCATTGAGTTTCAAAGACTCAGTGTTGTCAGTATTGAGTCCCAAAAGTTCAGTGCTAGTATCGAGTCCCACTAGCCCGATATCATCAGTATCGAATACCGCAAGCCCAATGACATCAGTATCGAATACTATGAGGTCGAGAAAAATCAGTATCAAGTCCCAATCTCCGATTATTGACCCAGTTCAATTTTTCATATATCTTTGGTTAGAGATGATTCTCAGATTCCTATCTGCGAGATATTTGGGATGGAATCAAGGGAGTTCGAGTCGCAATTCGAAACGCGTCAAGAACGTCAGAACACGTTCGACAGCCAACGAAGCGACTATAGAGTGGCACGACATAGATAGTATGCGAAAGTGGTTTCCACACTATCTATGTACTACTTGAAGGTGATGTAATTGGAAAATGAACCGTTCGCAAACTTTTGCTTGCGTTACAATTCCTTCGTCAAGTCTGATAGGATCCGCTGATGAGACTCGTGTAAACAATGGAGGAACGTCCTCTATGGTAATCCTTAGGAAGTTTAGGAATAATGTGCTCCATGATGGAGATCGTACGCGCAGGTTTGTCGAGGATTAGCGGGGCTCCTCTATTATACACAGCAGATGATGGAGGTGCTCCGAGTATTACTTGATATAATAGTCTATTGTCCTACGGTGCAATGCAAAACGGAGGCCCTTCGAGTGTTATTCGATGCAATAGTTTACTATTAATTGTCTGCTATTATTCGACGCAACAGTTAATGGAGATACTCCAAGTGATGTTTGATACAGTAGTGTACCATCTCATAAGTGCAGCTAAGATGTAGGTACTCTAAATGATACAGTAGTGTATTAATTCATAATGCAATCAAAGATTCTGGTACTCCAAGTGGTACTTGCTACTGTTGATAGTATAGAAGTATAAAAGTACTCTAACTAATACTTGATACAACAATGTCATATATTACAATGCAATCAAAGCTGCAGGTATTCTAACTGGTACTTGATAACACAACCAATTGTTATATTGTTCTCCGATATAATAGTCCACCATCATTGCAACTACTAACCTCACATCAACTACAGTTTCAGAACAATCCTCCTCGTCTACCCTCTCAACCTCAAAATTGCACGTCACCATACCCCTAGGGACAATTCACCTCTCCACGTTCAGTTCCCTGATAATCATCGTCCGCAGACTCGTGACAAGTACGAGCCAGCTACGTTAAGAGGGTATTCCCCAACGAATAGGTCAGTTTGGCTTTCCAACCAGTCCTGTGATCCTCTCCTATGGTCCCCGGCTCGACGATACTAAAATTGTTGATCGATTAAGGCTACCCGACTGATTCCACCGGCTTACC